GTCATCGCCGACATATCCACAAATACCAATGTGTTACCACGGACTTCGATCTGTCTCCGTGGTGTCATCGCCGAAATATCCACATATACCAATGTGTTACCACGGACTTTGATCTGTCTCCGTGTTGTCATCGCCGACATATCCACATATACCAATGTGTTACCACGGACTGCGATCTGTCTCCGTGGTGTCATCGCCGAAAAATCCACATATAAAAAATGTGTTACCACGGACTTCGATCTGTCTCTGTGGTGTCATCGCCGACATATCCACAAATACCAATGTGTTACCACGGACTTCGATCTGTCTCCGTGGTGTCATCGCCGAAATATTTATTTCCTATAGGTATTTGTGCCTCTCCTGTATGTCGTTATGAAGATGGTAATGACGATGTCTACCACTATTTTTTGTCTGTTCTGAATATCAAAATCATCGGTTAATATTCTTTAATACTCTTTCTAATTTGAATATCCAACCAGTCCCCAATCACAATACTCTTATTTGGGGGATCCTGCACTACCATTTGAAAGCAATATCAACACATTACTTGCCGTTCAGCAATTTATCAAAACAACCAAAAGGTTTGAAAGAAATTAGTGGTGGATAGCTATTTGCAACCAGAACCCCCACTTCTGTCATCACCTTTTCCCACACTCCTTTCCCCTCGTTTCATTATTATTGTCACGTGGTTTTAAAAGTGTCTATGTATCTGCTTGTAAAAGTATGTAATGTCTTGTCAGGAGAGGGCCTAGTAAGTTGGGAGAACTTGTGCCCAATCCCTTTGTATGTTTCTACAATAAAACATTTTTTGATTGGAACAATTAAAAGATAAAGCAAATGGTGAAAGTCTGCATGGGTGACGCTAAACATGTTAAAGCAGCCACGGAGAGATTATGGCCTGTCGTTAAACGTAATGTTAATGAAAAAAATGGTTGTTGTAGTCTTGTCGCCAATTGCTATCAGCAAACGCCTTTGATGTGAGAAAATGTCAGATTTTCAACATAATGTGTTTATACAAATATGACCTCAGTGATATAGGAATTTTAACACACGGGTGCTTTCAGCAGAAGCTTTGATGTGAGAAAAAACACGACGATATCAACATACCAAGCTGGGTGGTATATCAGTTAACATTTTTTTTTTCTCCTATTTTTTTTTTATTTTTGAAGAATTTACATGTAAAACAAACATACACAATGCATGTACATGAAAAACCCTTAAACTCTGTTTCATTAATCGATAGTTACATACTGGATCATTCTCACTTGCACTCACACAAACATAAACTTTGTGTGCATATCGAAACAAATTTAAATTAACATGAAATCGACACTGCCAAAAAGTGAACGCAAGATGATCAACATTTTGCACTGCATGATTCATGGCTTCACTGACACTCGCCGAAATATCCACATATACCAATGTGTTACCACGGACTGCGATCTGTCTCCGTGGTGTCATCGCCGACATATCCACAAATACCAATGTGTTACCACGGACTTCGATCTGTCTTCGTGGTGTCATCGCCGACATATCCACATATACCAATGTGTTACCACGGACTTCGATCTGTCTCCGTGGTGTCATCGCCGAAATATCAACTTATACCAATGTGTTACCACGGACTTCGATCTATTTCCGTGGTGTCATCGCCGACATATCCACATATACCAATGTGTTACCACGGACTTTGATCTGTCTCCGTGGTGTCATCGCCGACATATCCACATATACCAATGTGTTACCACGGACTTCAATCTATCTCCGTGGTGTCATCGCCGACATATCCACATATAAAAAATGTGTTACCACGGACTTCGATCTGTCTCCGTGGTGTCATCGCCGACATATCCACATATACCAATGTGTTACCACGGACTTTGATCTATCTCCGTGGTGTCATCGCCGACATATCCACAAATACCAATGTGTTACCACGGACTTCGATCTGTTTCCGTGGTGTCATCGCCGAAATATCCACATATACCAATGTGTTACCACGGACTTCTCTAAACATAATCAATTAAATGTTTTAAAGGCAGATAGTTGGAGGCCTCTAAACGTAATCAATTTAATGTTTTAATGGCAGATAGTTGGAGGCCTCTAAACATAATCAATTAAATGTTGTAATGGCAGATAGTTGGAGGCCTCTCGACATAATTAAATGTTGTAATGGCAGATTGTTGGAGGCCTTTTGAACATAATTAAATGTTTTAATGGCAGATAAATGTAGGCCTCTAAACATAATCCATTAAATGTTGTAATGGCAGATAGTTGGAGGCCTCAAAACATAATTAAAGGTTGTAATGGCAGATTGTTGGAGGCCTTTCAACATAATTAAATGTTTTAATGGCAGATTGTTGGAGGCCTCTCAACATAATTAAATGTTTTAATGGCAGATAGTTGGAGGCCTCTAAACATAATCAATTAAATGTTGTAATGGCAGATAGTTGGAGGCCTCTAAACATAATCCATTAAATGTTGTAATGGCAGATAGTTGGAGGCCTCTAAACATAATCAATTAAATGTTTTATGGCAGATAGTTGGAGGCCTCTAAACATAATCCATTAAATGTTGTAATGGCAGATAGTTGTAGGCCTCTAAACATAATCATTTAAATGTTTTAATGGCAGATAGTTGGAGGCCTCTAAACATAATCAATTAAATGTTGTAATGGCAGATAGTTGGAGGCCTCTAAACATAATCAATTAAATGTTGTAATGGCAGATAGTTGTAGGCCTCTAAACATAATCATTTAAATGTTTTAAAGGCAGATAGTTGGAGGCCTCTAAACATAATCAATTAAATGTTTTAATGGCAGATTGTTGGAGGCATCTAAACATAATCCATTAAATGTTGTAATGACAGATAGTTGGGTCCCTCTAAACATAATCAATTTGCTTTTCTTTACATGCATCAACTTCACCTCTATCTACAACAAATAGTGAAAAAATAAACTGTCCCAATACAAGATTACAGCCATTTGGTAATTTTGTTGTTTTGGTTATGAGTTCATGGACGACTACACAAATAGTTTAAGAAACATCCGCCAAGAGGCACTCGACAAATGGTGGACTAAGAAAAGGACCTCGGCTAAAAATCACTGACTCCTATGTCAACAACCGGCTATTAATGAATCAAACTTTATGGTCTGAAAACATATCACATACAAATAGCAACGAGATTCAACCTAGTTAAGGTCTGATCCAAGACTGAATACCAAATACCGTCTGATTTTGTGTTTACCTACACACTAGGGATCACGAAAGCTGTTTAGTTGTTTTCTGTAGAAGTTGCGCAGTTCAATGTTTATCATTCCATGAACAGCCAGGGTCATTGTGAGGGAGAGTTCCTTGTAGTAGCCTGTGACTACCTCACTGAACATCATATGGAAGGTCCATTGCATGCCATCCAAAGCAATTAGAATGAAGTATCTTGCCCAAGATGACAACACAGACCGGTCTGTTTCTCACCTTCCTGGGAAACAAACCGATGCGGGTAAGGAGTGTTGAATCTCCATTTGAGATTACGAAGGTCAAGTATCTACCGAATGGGCATTTGTGATTCCACAAAATAGTTACATTTTGTGCTATGAAAATACACCCTTCTTTTTTATTTCAAAAGTATGGTTAAACTGTGGCAATTTGAACTATCAATAAAGGAATCCTTTAAGGTATATGTGCGCAAAGAGCCTCATACCACTAGGATCGCAGTCAAGGTATCGGGCTTATTAATCATAACTGCTACATATAATGATGACAGGAAACTTGGTGAAATCAACAATTTGAAGCTTTCCATAATTTGGAATTTATGAAAAGGTTTAACACATTTACTCTTTGTTTCCTCAAAAGAGGGTCAATATCTCATTCGCACAAACTTGGTAGCCCTTCATACAAGTATGCTACAGGCTCTTGGCTTTTCAGTACCAGTGACATCATAGGTTTTTACTGGGAGTGATTCAATATGAATATTTACCTAATATGGTCTTGAAAGTGTGTCAAGGCCATTCATTCAAGCAAACTTTTTCATCCAAGCATGTTACATCCCAACAATCCGTACCCTTGGCCTAGAAGTTATTAAGTTGTTTAAAGATTTTAACACATTTGACCCTTACAGCCTTGAAAATGGGTAAAGGTTATCATTTCAACAAACTTGCATACCTCCATCCCAATATTCTATGGGCCTAATATCAGTACCATGGGTTTTGTGGCTATTGAAAGGATGTCATTTGTATGAATAGTTTAAACATGACACACAAGGATGGACAAAACATGGCTATAGATCATCCTGATCCTTTGGGTCAAATGACCTAAAAAGCCATCACATAAAAATGGGCGATACTACTGCCTCAGCCATTTCATTATAAGTCAACAATAAACAAAGTTCTTAATAAAAATATTTTAATTTGACATTTCATACATATGATACACAAATGTTCAGTTGGTTATGGTCTGATAATACTTGGTATGTTGACAGTAATTTGAGCTTGACTAACAGTCACTAACCATATTATTAAGACAACTTTAAATCACTATGTATTGATCGGACAGCACTTGATTTGATCAAGGTATGTTTGCCTCATGAAGGTGAAAATATTTGGAGTTTTTGACATGAAATTACTACATAATAAAGCTTATCTGATCTGCCAATTGCAAATTGCACTCAGATGTACTCTAACAGACTTTGCTAAAGAAATTAAAATATAAATTTGGTGTTAATTTTTTCTAGCAGTCCTGCATCATCTCTCTCTCACCATAATGGATGGTTATCATCAAAGCTCACATTTTCTATGTTTTGAATCAGTATGGTGTAGAAATTTGTCCTTCAGGTGTACAAGGTGATATCCCCCCGCCCCCCACCCCCTCGATATTAAACAATATTTTTGGTGTTAAGATGGTTATCATCAAAGCTCACATTTTCTATGTTTTGAATCAGTATGGTGTAGAAATTTGTCCTTCAGGTGTACAAGGTGATATCCCCCCGCCCCCCACCCCCTCGATATTAAACAATATTTTTTCTCCTCAAGAATGTAGATATCGGCATTACAGAGTGCACGTTATCACACAAATCATTCCCAATAATGTAAAAGATGTCCTTTCAAAGGTTTAGCCAGGACTTATTCCTTAAATGTTTAAAAGAAATTTACCTTTAGAGTGTATTGCCCTTGAGGAGTGTGAGATTTCCCCTAATATTTAGCAGAAATTTACCTTTAGAGTGTATTGCCCTTGAGGAGTGTGAGATTTCCCCTAATATTTAGCAGAAATTTACCTTTAGAGTGTATTGCCCTTGAGGAGTGTGAGATTTCCCCTAATATTTAGCAGAAATTTACCTTTAGAGTGTATTGCCCTTGAGGAGTGTGAGATTTCCCCTAATATTTAGCAGAAATTTACCTTTAGAGTGTATTGCCCTTGAGGAGTGTGAGATTTCCCCTAATATTTAGCAGAAATTTACCTTTAGAGTGTATTGCCCTTGGGGAGTGTGAGATCTTCCCTAATATTTAGCAGAAATTTACCTTTAGAGTGTATTGCCCTTGAGGAGTGCGAGATTTCCCCTAATATTTAGCAGAAATTTACCTTTAGAGTGTACACCTTGGGGAGTGTGAGATTTCCCCTAATATTTAGCAGAAATTTACCTTTAGAGTGTACACCTTGGGGAGTGTGAGATTTCCCCTAATATTTAGCAGAAATTTACCTTTAGAGTGTATTGCCCTTGAGGAGTGTGAGATTTCCCCTAATATTTAGCAGAAATTTACCTTTAGAGTGTATTTGTCCTTGGGGAGTGTGAGATTTCCCCTAATATTTAGCAGAAATTTACCTTTAGAGTGTATTGCCCTTGAGGAGTGTGAGATTTCCCCTAATATTTAGCAGAAATTTACCTTTAGAGTGTATTTGTCCTTGGGGAGTGTGAGATTTCCCCTAATATTTAGCAGAAATTTACCTTTAGAGTGTATTTGTCCTTGGGGAGTGTGAGATTTCCCCTAATATTTAGCAGTAAATTGTGCAGTGTAGAAGTAATGATGAAATGGTCTCTAGGATTCTAAAAGTGTTTTAATAGTGAAGCTGTTATTTTCCAATCTTTTGCTGTTGTCATCTCTTGGCAGGTGAAGAAATGGGATTAGAAGCTTGAACACCAAGGTGATGATTTGTAAGGAAATCTGTCTCGGATATCCTGTCCAGTGTGCGATAAACATCACCAACTCCAATGCTGTCTGCATACCTGATCAGAAAAAGGAAAAAAGAAATTCAGACAAAGATCTAGGCACTGCAACCTGATCTACCACTTATATATAGGAAACAATGTACAAGAGACAGATTTATGTCTGATTGAAATTAATGTCAGTTTACATAAATAATAGACTGCATTTAATTAGTATGCTGTCCATGCCTTTACTCTAACAGACTACAACTGTTGAAGATATAGAAAATGGATATTTCCCTATTATTTTATTATATCAAGTTAAAACATACATAACTCAGATCTTTTGATATGTAATTGACTGATCACGATTTTAAAAGCATGCTTGAATCAAAGTAACATCTGATCTGATGATTTGGAGGTCTCACCTTCCCAAATTTACTTTCATAGAATATGTCTCTCTTAGCATATCACTCATGAAGGTCTTCATGGCCTGGAACACAACAATCAAGATATCTTTACTTCTCTCATACAAAAATCATTGAATTCTTGGTCCATTACCTGAAGCTGGTGATAGATAAAATCAGATGCATGACCTAGATTCTTGCCCCACTCTCTATTTGTCTGGGGTTTAATTGATGTAATAAGGTGACTAATACTATGTGTTTTTTTAATGGGTTGTCTGACTTCCTCCCACAATAGGACCCCTCATGTTGTAATATTCAGGCCAACTAATGTGTAGCTCAGGACTTTCACAGGGATATATTCGATATTTCATGGTACAATATATATCATATGTATATTAACTTGATAGCAAAAACTAAATCTGTGAAATAATGAGACAAGTGTGTATTCAATTTTCACATCCAGATCACAATATTCCTTTTTGTTCAAGTAAAATTGATCCTTTTAAAAGAAAGTCTAAAACATTTTGCCCCAGCTATATGAAAACTAGTTTCCCAATTGTTGTAAATAAAGAACACATAATATCATATATTTATCCGGGGCCCCATTCCTCATATTTAAGTAACCGTGACCCAGGTTGTCTGTGTATTACACACCCACCTATGTAATACACCCAGGTTGTCTGTGTATTACACATCGACCTATGTAATACACCCAGGTTGTCTGTGTATTACACATCGACCTATGTAATACACCCAGGTTGCCTGTGAGTGTATTACACATCCACCTATGTAATACACTCAGGTTGCCTGTGAGTGAATTACACACCCACCTATGTCATACACCCAGGTTGTCTGTGTATTACACACCCACCTATATAATACACCCAGGTTGTCTGTGTATTACACACCCACCTATGTAATACACCCAGGTTGTCAGTGAGTGTATTACACACCCACCTATGTAATACACCCAGGTTGTCAGTGAGTGTATTACACACCTACCTATATAATACACCCAGATTGTCTGTGTATTACACACCTACCTATGTAATACACTCAGGTTGTCTGTGTTACACACCCACCTATGTAATACACCCAGGTTGTCTGTGTATTACACACCCACCTATATAATACACCCAGGTTGTCTGTGTATTACACACCCACCTATGTAATACACCTAGGTTGTCTGTGTGTTACACACCCACCTATATAATACACCCAGGTTGTCTGTGTATTACACACCTACCTATATAATACACCCAGATTGTCTGTGTATTACACACCCACCTATATAATACACCCAGGTTGTCTGTGTATTACACACCCACCTATGTAATACACCCAGGTTGTCTGTGTGTTACACACCCACCTATGTAATACACCCAGGTTGTCAGTGAGTGTATTACACACCCACCTATGTAATACACCCAGTTGTCAGTGAGTGTCACACCTACCTATATAATACACCCAGATTGTCTGTGTATTACACACCCACCTATATAATACACCCAGGTTGTCTGTGTATTACACACCCACCTATGTAATACACCCAGGTTGTCTGTGTGTTACACACCCACCTATGTAATACACCCAGGTTGTCAGTGAGTGTATTACACACCCACCTATGTAATACACCCAGTTGTCAGTGAGTGTATTACACACCTACCTATATAATACACCCAGATTGTCTGTGTATTACACACCCACCTATGTAATACACCCAGGTTGTCTGTGTATTACACATCCACCTATGTAATACACCCAGGTTGTCTGTGAGTGTATTACACACACCCCTATGTAATACACCCAGGTTGTCTGTGAGTGTATTACACACACCCCTATGTAATACACCCAGTGTATAATCCAAATCTTATTATATCTGATGATGATTTGTACAACTATTGGGATAGATAATTTTCATTTTGTCTTTCTCTGAACAAGAGGTCCTTAATGTCTGTATTGTTCACCTGGTTTAGTTGCTGAAATTGTTTCATCTAAATCAAATGAAAATCTATTAAAAGATTTTGATCTATCACCCTTTTTAGGCCTGCCCATCTACCCAATCAGGATCATCATTTACAGAGAATTTATGTTTCCTAACCCTAGGATGTTTTGTCCTAAAATTCAATCATTCATTCAAGCATAAAGATAATTTCAAAGAATTACTCCACTAAAAAGGCCCTTTCCGTCCTTCTCTCCATCCCTAGGAAGCTCAGACCCATCATAGATATAACATTGACTCTTCTATCCCAGACCCATCCTTGATATGAAACTGACTCTCCTATATCCAAGACCCAAGATGGCTGCCTGTCAGCCATTATGTTTCTCTGTCCCAAAATCAAATAGACACAACTACAGACCAAGGGAAACCTACATATGAAATTTTAGAAAGATCCATCCAGTACTTCTCAAGAAATAGTGATACAAAAAATAGGGATGGATGGACAACAGATGGACGAAGGACCACGTCTGTAGGGTGATTTGAACAGCTAACCATCTATTGATGGTGGGCTAAAAATAGCTATTATATAGATGTAAGAAAACCTTTATTTTATATTCAAATAATTTGATTTAAAGCGTGAATATTCTTAAAACTTTTAGAAATATATTGAGTTATGGCCAACAGTTTATATATAGAATTGGTTACTTAACTATAGTACCAAAGTTTGATGGTTTTGATAGAAATACTTTATTTCAATATATTAAGAATATGATATATATAAAATGTTACAGTTACAGATGTAGACCTTTCCAAATTATAAACCAGGGGTGCTGCAACTGGTAAAATTAGGAGTGATGTTTTCCAGTTACTAATGAGAAATTCTAGAGGAATATGGGTGTCCACCATTGTTTAATCTTTATTTGCTCTCTGAAGGTTGGATATTTTCCCTTCTTTTCTCTTTTCTTCTAAATTTTTGCTCTTAATGACAAGAAATTTGAACATAGTGATGACTAGAACTGTGGCCAGGAAAGTCGACAAATACTTCCCCGTTCCCCAAACAACGATAGTTTTGGAGGCAGGAAGATTCCTCAAAGAGGTCTTCATTTGGTCACCATGGCAACCTAATGGACACAATTTTTATTTTTTTTTTTGAAAATGGTATCATTGTACCTGTCATCCCCCTAAACCTTTTTATATAATTTTCAACTTAATCAGATAATATCTTAATTTCAACCTATCAGAAGCCTCAAAAATATTTCCATGTTTAAATGGAAAATGATAGGGCACATAACATATCATAGGGATGTAGTATGCCAAGTTTGAGAAATACTACTTCAGTACTTTATTAGATACACTTGACACAATATCTACAAAACTCTAACCAATGTTATTAAAATTTTACCAAAAGGGCACAACCATATATGATAGGAATGTAGCATGCCACTTTAGAGAAATATTGCTTCAGTACTTTATGAGATCTTCTTAACATAATATTTCATAAAGAATTCTACAAGAAGGGGAAAAACTCTACCAAAATTTTACGAAAAGCGATAGGGCACAACTTCAGATCATATGGATGTAGTATGACGGATGACAGACGTAGAGTGATTTGAATAGCCCACCAAAAATTGATACATTATACACACTTACTATCACTTGAAACCGAAATAACAGTGCTTTAGGTATCTGCTATCACATCTTTAAAATGTTTATCTAGTACAATACCTGGTCAATGTACTTTTGTGTCGCCAACAATCAAGGGAAAAAATAAACAAATATCAACATGAAACTTGGTACAAAAGTGTATTCTATCTATATTGTCAATTAAATAGACCGCTAGAATTAGATGTCATTGATCCCATAATCCTTTGCATTGTGTGATATTGTCCTGTCTCAAAGAATCATGTTCAAATTAGGACACAGTTCATAATTGATGGGAATTTCAATAGTGTTAGAAGCACCTAGCCTGTAAGATTTCATAAATTTTAATTTAATACTTGCTTGTCTCATGTATCACAGAAAGCATTGTGTTGTTGCACAACTTGACTGTAGACATGCAAAAAATATAATGTACTTACAGAGAATATCATATCTTCTGCTACAGACCCATGAATCTCTCTGTCAATCTCTGACGGCTCAAATTTCACCCCAATCTGAATAAAAACAACATCGATCTTCATCAGAAACAAATATACAGTTTTCTGAACAAAAATTTAAAACTCAAGGGTCAATGCATCTTCTTTACTAAAAGCATGGATAAGAGCTAAATAGAAATATTTTACATTTATGCGAGATGTACACAACATTTGTAACAAAATCAATAAGCAACAGCCAACCACAATGTAAAGAGTGTATTTACATTTGCATATCTTGCCAAGACGGTGATTGTTAACGATGTCAATAACATCGACTGACAAGGACATGTCACGAGAGTGACGTCAATCACATGACATTTAATGTTACTTGTGTCACAAATGCTGAACAAGTAACCAACTTTGCTGTAATAAAGCACAAAATATGGAACCTAATCATCATGTTTAGGTTGTTTAAAACCAGTATGAATTGATACAGGGACAACCTTACTGTAGTTTTAAATCTGCAGCAGAATATTGTGGATATACAGTCCAAATGCCGCTACATGTCCATTGTAAAACTCTATATAAGATAGTATAATCATAGATTTTAAAACTCAGTAGGGTTATCTCTTCATTGACAGGGCAATTAATTAGTAACTTTTAGCAATCTCATATAAATTGCCATATACATGTTAATGCGTGTGGGCTTATCATAGCCCAAGTCTGCAAATCTGGAATGAGTGATGGGTTGGCTGATTACCAGACATAAGACTGATAGCCAGATGTTATACACATATATGACACCTTTATGAGTGAAAAGAATATCTCTATCTGTGGGGAAAGGTTTTAAAGTCAGCAAACAGGCTTCTGAATGTTTGACACTCTAAAAAATCCATAATGAGAAAAATAGGAGATCCAAAAGGGGAGGACAAAAGATTCCCAGGAAAAAATGAAAAAATGGAATAACTAGAAAATGTCTGTAAGACATGAATGCCCCCGCCCCCCCATGTGAAATAATAGTGAAAGGTCCAAAAGAGATGATTTTGTTAATTTGTATGCAACTATGTACAACTTAAGTTTCATACTTAAATTGACAAGTTGATTTAACGTACATGAATTTGGAATTTTGTTCTCTGGAAAAAATGAGGGAGTATATTAGTTCCTTATGCCTTAAAACCCACAAGTACCAAATTATGTAGAAATAAGATGATGTTCCTCTTTTTTGAGTTATCTCCCCCTGGTGGCCATCTTTATTTTAGAATGCCGAGAAATTCAACACTGCATGAGGTCTTTCCATACTTGATATTTGTATGAAGTTTCATGAAAATTGCCTTCCGAATGAAGTTGTTAGGTGGTTTATACTGATTTGGGACGGGACGCGACGGGATGCGACGGGACGGGACGGACGGACATGGGCAACGCTATATGCCCCCGGCCATAAATGGCGGGGACATAAAAAAATGATCTAGGGTGCACTTGAAATGTATTGTATCTGTTTCTAACTTGCACTTTGCCAATTATAGCATTTTAACCAAAACACCTAAAAATACTTCCAAACTTTTGACGCTAGTTTATCAAGAGAAATATAAATCTTCCCACTGACTATCATATGATAATTACTTTTGTAGATAGGTCCTGGACAAACCGAGCCTGTCTTGATGGAGGCAGGACGATCGGATCACAGTATACCAGCTCTTTTGTCACCTCTGCTTTCACCTTTACTTTTGCAAGCTCTGGAATGGAAAGTCATTGATATAATTTTGAATACTCAAAGTCTGTAAACATTAACTATAAGCTTGATGGGTACTTGAAATCACTCTAAGTATTCCAAGTCTTGAGAACTTACATCTATGAGCTCTACATGTTCTGGGCGTGATTCTTGAGTTCTCAAAGTCTGAAAACTTACAAACTCTACTCAGAGGTATATTACCTGACCTAACCATAGGGATATGTTACTTAACTACAGATATATCTCACCTACACATATATAGATACACCATCTACCCGAAGATATAACACATACCAAAAGATAGTTCATCTACCTTCTGAGGTACGTCACCAATCAACATCACCTACCTGCAGAGATATATGACTTAGCAGAAGAGATATAATATCAACCAATAGAAATATCATTTTACAATGAAGACATGTCTCTCTCCCATTTAGATATATCATCTACCAATGAAGACATGTCTCTCTCCCATTTAGATATATCATCTACCAATGAAGACATGTCTCTCTCCCATTTAGATATATCATCTACCCATAGAAATGTCATCTACCAATGAAGACATGTCTCTCTCATCATTTAGATATATCATCTACCAATGAAGATATGTCTCTCTCATCATTTAGATATATCATCTACCAATGAAGACATGTCTCTCTCCCATTTAGATATATCATCTACCAATGAAGACATGTCTCTCTCCCATTTAGATATATCATCTACCAATGAAGACATGTCTCTCTCCCATTTAGATATATCATCTACCAATGAAGACATGTCTCTCTCCCATTTAGATATATCATCTACCCATAGAAATGTCATCTACCAATGAAGACATGTCTCTCTCATCATTTAGATATATCATCTACCAATGAAGACATGTCTCTCTCCCATTTAGATATATCATCTACCAATGAAGACATGTCTCTCTCCCATTTAGATATATCATCTACCAATGAAGACGTCTCTCTCCCATTTAGATATATCATCTACCAATGAAGACATGTCTCTCTCCCATTTAGATATATCATCTACCAATGAAGACATGTCTCTCTCATCATTTAGATATATCATCTACCAATGAAGATATGTCTCTCTCCCATTTAGATATATCATCTACCAATGAAGATATGTCTCTCTCATCATTTAGATATATCATCTACCAATGAAGACATGTCTCTCTCCCATTTAGATATATCATCTACCAATGAAGACATGTCTCTCTCCCATTTAGATATATCATCTACCAATGAAGACATGTCTCTCTCCCATTTAGATATATCATCTACCAATGAAGACATGTCTCTCTCCCATTTAGATATATCATCTACCAATGAAGACATGTCTCTCTCCCATTTAGATATATCATCTACCAATGAAGACGTCTCTCTCCCATTTAGATATATCATCTACCAATGAAGACATGTCTCTCTCCCATTTAGATATATCATCTACCAATGAAGACATGTCTCTCTCATCATTTAGATATATCATCTACCAATGAAGACATGTCTCTCTCCCATTTAGATATATCATCTACCAATGAAGACATGTCTCTCTCATCATTTAGATATATCATCTACCAATGAAGATATGTCTCTCTCCCATTTAGATATATCATCTACCCATAGAAATGTCATCTACCAATGAAGATATGTCTCTCTCCCATTTAGATATATCATCTACCAATGAAGACATGTCTCTCTCATCATTTAGATATATCATCTACCAATGAAGACATGTCTCTCTCCCATTTAGATATATCATCTACCAATGAAGACATGTCTCTCTCATCATTTAGATATATCATCTACCAATGAAGATATGTCTCTCTCCCATTTAGATATATCATCTACCCATAGAAATGTCATCTACCAATGAAGATATGTCTCTCTCCCATTTAGATATATCATCTACCAATGAAGACATGTCTCTCTCATCATTTAGATATATCATCTACCAATGAAGACATGTCTCTCTCCCATTTAGATATATCATCTACCCATAGAAATGTCATCTACCAATGAAGACATGTCTCTCTCATCATTTAGATATATCATCTACCAATGAAGACATGTCTCTCTCATCATTTAGATATATCATCTACCAATGAAGACATGTCTCTCTCCCATTTAGATATATCATCTACCCATAGAAATGTCATCTACCAATGAAGACATGTCTCTCTCATCATTTAGATACATCATCTACCCATAGAAATGTCATCTACCAATGAAGACATGTCTCTCTCATCATTTAGATATATCATCCACCAATGAAGACATGTCTCTCTCATCATTTAGATATATCATCTACCAATGAAGACATGTCTCTCTCCCATTTAGATATATCATCTACCCATAGAAATGTCATCTACCAATGAAGATATGTCTCTCTCCCATTTAGATATATCATCTACCCATAGAAATGTCATCTACCAATGAAGATATGTCTCTCTCCCATTTAGATATATCATCTACCCATAGAAATGTCATCTACCAATGAAGATATGTCTCTCTCCCATTTAGATATATCATCTACCCATAGAAATGTCATCTACCAATGAAGATATGTCTCTCTCCCATTTAGATATATCATCTACCAATGAAGACATGTCTCTCTCATCATTTAGATATATCATCTACCATTGAAGACATGTCTCTCTCCCATTTAGATATATCATCTACCCATAGAAATGTCATCTACCAATGAAGACATGTCTCTCTCATTATTTAGATATATCATCTACCAATGAAGACATGTCTCTCTCATCATTTAGATATATCATCTACCAATGAAGACATGTCTCTCTCCCATTTAGATATATCATCTACCAATGAAGACATGTCTCTCTCATCATTTAGATATATCATCTACCAATGAAGACATGTCTCTCTCCCATTTAGATATATCATCTACCAATGAAGACATGTCTCTCTCATCATTTAGATATATCATCTACCAATGAAGACATGTCTCTCTCCCATTTAGATATATCATCTACCCATAGAAATGTCATCTACCAATGAAGACATGTCTCTCTCATCATTTAGATATATCATCTACCAATGAAGACATGTCTCTCTCATCATTTAGATATATCATCTACCCATAGAAATGTCATCTACCAATGAAGACATGTCTCTCTCATCATTTAGATATATCATCTACCAATGAAGACATGTCTCTCTCATCATTTAGATATATCATCTACCAATGAAGACATGTCTCTCTCATCATTTAGATATATCATCTACCCATAGAAATGTCATCTACCAATGAAGACATGTCTCTCTCATCATTTAAATATATCATCTACCAATGAAGACATGTCTCTCTCATCATTTAGATATATCATCTACCAATGAAGACATGTCTCTCTCATCATTTAGATATATCATCTACCCATAGAAATGTCATCTACCAATGAAGACATGTCTCTCTCATCATTTAGATATATCATCTACCAATGAAGACATGTCTCTCTCATCATTTAGATATATCATCTACCCATAGAAATGTCATCTACCAATGAAGACATGTCTCTCTCATCATTTAGATATATCATCTACCAATGAAGACATGTCTCTCTCATCATTTAGATATATCATCTACCAATGAAGACATGTCTCTCTCATCATTTAGATATATCATCTACCCATAGAAATGTCATCTACCAATGAAGACATGTCTCTCTCATCATTTAGATATATCATCTACCAATGAAGACATGTCTCTCTCATCATTTAGATATATCATCTACCCATAGAAATGTCATCTACCAATGAAGACATGTCTCTCTCATCATTTAGATATATCATCTACCAATGAAGACATGTCTCTCTCATCATTTAGATATATCATCTACCAATGAAGACATGTCTCTCTCATCATTTAGATATATCATCTACCCATAGAAATGTCATCTACCAATGAAGATATGTCTCTCTCCCATTTAGATATATCATCTACCAATGAAGACATGTCTCTCTCATCATTTAGATATATCATCTACCAATGAAGACATGTCTCTCTCCCATTTAGATATATCATCTACCCATAGAAATGTCATCTACCAATGAAGACATGTCTCTCTCATCATTTAGATATATCATCTACCAATGAAGACATGTCTCTCTCATCATTTAGATATATCATCCACCAATGAAGACATGTCTCTCTCCCATAAAGATATATCATCTACCCATAGAAATGTCATCTACCAATGAAGACATCTCTCTCCCATAAAGATATATCATCTACCAATGAAGACATGTCTCTCTCCCATAAAGATATATCATCTACCCATAGAAATGTCATCTACCAATGAAGATATGTCTCTCTCCCATTTAGATATATCATCTACCCATAGAAATGTCATCTACCAATGAAGACATCTCTCTCCCATTTAGATATATCATCTACCAATGAAGATATGTCTCTCTCCCATTTAGATATATCATCTACCAATGAAGACATGTCTCTCTCATCATTTAGATATATCCACCAATGAAGACATGTCTCTCTCCCATTTAGATATATCATCTACCCATAGAAATGTCATCTACCAATGAAGACATCTCTCTCCCATAAAGATATATCATCTACCAATGAAGACATGTCTCTCTCCCATAAAGATATATCATCTACCCATAGAAATGTCATCTACCAATGAAGATATGTCTCTCTCCCATTTAGATATATCATCTACCAATGAAGACATGTCTCTCTCCCATTTAGATATATCATCTTCCCATAGAAATGTCATCTACCAATGAAGACATCTCTCTCCCATTTAGATATATCATCTACCCATAGAAATGTCATCTACCAATGAAGACGTCTCTCTCCCATTTAGATATATCATCTACCAATGAAGACATGTCTCTCTCATCATTTAGATATATCATCCACCAATGAAGACATGTCTCTCTCCCATTTAGATATATCATCTACCCATAGAAATGTCATCTACCAATGAAGATATGTCTCTCTCCCATTTAGATATATCATCTACCAATGAAGACATGTCTCTCTCATCATTTAGATATATCATCTACCAATGAAGACATGTCTCTCTCCCATTTAGATATATCATCTACCCATAGAAATGTCATCTACCAATGAAGACATGTCTCTCTCATCATTTAGATATATCATCTACCAATGAAGACATGTCTCTCTCATCATTTAGATATATCATCCACCAATGAAGACATGTCTCTCTCCCATAAAGATATATCATCTACCCATAGAAATGTCATCTACCAATGAAGACATCTCTCTCCCATAAAGATATATCATCTACCAATGAAGACATGTCTCTCTCCCATAAAGATATATCATCTACCCATAGAAATGTCATCTACCAATGAAGATATGTCTCTCTCCCATTTAGATATATCATCTACCCATAGAAATGTCATCTACCAATGAAGACATCTCTCTCCCATTTAGATATATCATCTACCAATGAAGATATGTCTCTCTCCCATTTAGATATATCATCTACCAATGAAGACATGTCTCTCTCATCATTTAGATATATCCACCAATGAAGACATGTCTCTCTCCCATTTAGATATATCATCTACCCATAGAAATGTCATCTACCAATGAAGACATCTCTCTCCCATAAAGATATATCATCTACCAATGAAGACATGTCTCTCTCCCATAAAGATATATCATCTACCATAGAAATGTCATCTACCAATGAAGATATGTCTCTCTCCCATTTAGATATATCATCTACCAATGAAGACATGTCTCTCTCCCATTTAGATATATCATCTTCCCATAGAAATGTCATCTACCAATGAAGACATCTCTCTCCCATTTAGATATATCATCTACCCATAGAAATGTCATCTACCAATGAAGACGTCTCTCTCCCATTTAGATATATCATCTACCAATGAAGACATGTCTCTCTCATCATTTAGATATATCATCCACCAATGAAGACATGTCTCTCTCCCATTTAGATATATCATCTACCCATAGAAATGTCATCTACCAATGAAGACATCTCTCTCCCATAAAGATATATCATCTACCAATGAAGACATGTCTCTCTCCCATAAAGATATATCATCTACCCATAGAAATGTCATCTACCAATGAAGATATGTCTCTCTCCCATTTAGATATATCATCTACCAATGAAGACATGTCTCTCTCCCATTTAGATATATCATCTACCCATAGAAATGTCATCTACCAATGAAGACATCTCTCTCCCATTTAGATATATCATCTACCCATAGAAATGTCATCTACCAATGAAGATATGTCTCTCTCCCATTTAGATATATCATCTACCAATGAAGACATGTCTCTCTCCCATTTAGATATATCATCTACCAATGAAGACGTCTCTCTCCCATTTAGATATATCATCTACCAATGAAGACATGTCTCTCTCATCATTTAGATATATCATCTACCAATGAAGACGTCTCTCTCCCATTTAGATATATCATCTACCCATAGAAATGTCATCTACCAATGAAGATATGTCTCTCTCCCATTTAGATATATCATCTACCCATAGAAATGTCATCTACCAATGAAGATATGTCTCTCTCCCATTTAGATATATCATCTACCAATGAAGACATGTCTCTCTCCCATTTAGATATATCATCTACCAATGAAGACGTCTCTCTCCCATTTAGATATATCATCTACCAATGAAGACATGTCTCTCTCATCATTTAGATATATCATCTACCAATGAAGACGTCTCTCTCCCATTTAGATATATCATCTACCAATGAAGATATGTCTCTCTCCCATTTAGATATATCATCTACCAATGAAGACATGTCTCTCTCCCATTTAGATATATCATCTACCAATGAAGACATGTCTCTCTCCCATTTAGATATATCATCTACCAATGAAGACATGTCTCTCTCCCATTTAGATATATCATCTACCAATGAAGACATGTCTCTCTCATCATTTAGATATATCATCTACCAATGAAGACATGTCTCTCTCCCATTTAGATATATCATCTTCCAATGAAGACATGTCTCTCTCATCATTTAGATATATCATCTACCAATGAAGACATGTCTCTCTCCCATAAAGATATATCATCTACCCATAGAAATGTCATCTACCAATGAAGACATGTCTCTCTCCCATTTAGATATATCATCTACCAATGAAGACATGTCTCTCTCATCATTTAGATATATCATCTACCAATGAAGACATGTCTCTCTCCCATTTAAATATATCATCTACCAATGAAGACATGTCTCTCTCCCATTTAGATATATCATCTACCAATGAAGACATGTCTCTCTCCCATTTAGATATATCATCTACCAATGAAGACATGTCTCTCTCCCATTTAGATATATCATCTACCAATGAAGACATGTCTCTCTCATCATTTAGATATATCATCTACCAATGAAGACATGTCTCTCTCCCATTTAGATATATCATCTACCAATGAAGACATGTCTCTCTCATCATTTAGATATATCATCTACCAATGAAGACATGTCTCTCTCCCATTTAGATATATCATCTACCAATGAAGACATGTCTCTCTCATCATTTAGATATATCATCTACCAATGAAGACGTCTCTCTCCCATTTAGATATATCATCTACCAATGAAGACATGTCTCTCTCCCATTTAGATATATCATCTACCAATGAAGACATGTCTCTCTCCCATTTAGATATATCATCTACCAATGAAGACATGTCTCTCTCCCATAAAGATATATCATCTACCCATAGAAATATCATCTACTTATAAAGACATGTCTCCTACCCATAACAAAGATTTACCACCTACCCAGAGATATCTTCTAACAGCAATATATTATCAACCAAGAGAGATATGTGGCCCATTCATACAGATATGTCACCTCCCCAAAGAAACATGTCCCTTGCCAGAAATATGTCACCTCTCCAAAGATGTTTGTCACCTACATATATGGAAGGTCACCTGCCTACACAGACTTATCACTTACCCACAGAAATTATATCAACTTCCTTCTCATCTGAAAGGTCTGCATCATTAGCAGCATCTATTTCCCTAATGTGTGACAAGACAACGTCCGAGTCTGTTGCTGATGTATATCTTTTACCCAGCATACTGGAATCAGCACTAAGTTCCACAGGGGACGGATGCAGTGTTTTCTCTGGAAAAACATATTAAGACTGTAACTTAACCTACACATCTTTACATACTTGTAACTTATCTGATTTTCTGCTCATATATTCTATCTGTTGTTCCAGACAATCATTCTGCTACTCTGCTCATTCTCTGCTATATCTCCACTGATAACACAATACTGATTTTATACTGTAAACTCAGGGTCAAATCTACGCAATTTCAGATATCAGTGGGTTCTCTGCAACTTTACACAGTAATTTCCAATTACATATTTTAAATATGAAGTGCAGACTACAGACATTTTTTCTATTGAAATCTGCTTTCGTTAATGATTCTGTCAGTTTTAGATGACAGCTAAGAACTACTGAAATATGACAAGCATCAATATTAATGAGTTCCAACTTTTCATTTCATTCTTTTTTGCCAACAGATCTGATACTACTTTTTTTCCATAATTAGCGGCTGCTTTTCCAACATATTGAATATAAAAGTGAAATTTGATAAAGGAGGAAGAAATATGGATATGTCTGGACATTTATGGTAACTGGTTATTAATTCTGACAAGTGAACAGACCTAGAAAGTGTGGACTATAGACATGGTTTCTACACCAAACCATGATCTGTTTGGTTGTCCAGAGTGACTCCCCCTTGAATGACGTTGCACCATTGAGACTCTTCAACAGAAATTTCCTGGCAGAAGATGCCCTTTGCCACTGAAATAGTCCAGAGAACACAACTTATTGTACAGTCATTCTTATAAGAACCAAAATAAAAATATCTGACTCTCAGCACATGATTTCACATCCTCCCCACTTTTCAAAATTCTAAAGAGGGAGAAAAACGCCCAAACATTTTTGAGGACAATCAGTAAATTAATGTTTATTCAATTTATATTCTTAAATAAGTTCAACTCAATGATGTGCATGCTATATTTTGATTTAACAGCAAAAGTTGTTGTTTTTATTGCAAGCCAGGACTACGTTCAGAGTTATAAATAAATCTTTCATCTTGGTCAATGAGAAACAATCAGGATCTAACCTGAAACTACACATGATAAAAATGAAATATTTTTGTTGTTAACAGCACTCTATTATTATTATCATTCTTTATGAACTTGGATAACTGAAATGACACTTATTTCCTGAGATAACGATACAGAGTATGAAATGAAATATTCAAAAAAAATTTGTTTTGACCCGACAGGATGAACAAACAGACAACTCAACAAATTCTACAAATCTCTTCACATGTAAAATGCATGGCATTTCAATCAGGTACCGATTACATACCTCTGAAGCTCGACGTTTGCCAACATTCCAAGACAGCCATTCTTCTGAAGATCTTGCACAGTATGGATGGAGACTGCGATCTGACAGCACAATAATTGATTAAAGAGGTATAACACACCCAAACATTATTCTAACAATGTCTGTTATAATTTCCAAAATACATTCTTAAGATTTAATAATGAAATCAATAATGGACATACATTAACATTTCTTATATTCATTAAGTTAAATACATATCTTATGAAACCTAATTCACATCAAGCACACTAAATTCTATAATGTCACTTCACAACACCAATTTTAGCTATATGATCATCAAGCACACTAAATTCTATAATGTCACTTCACAACACCAATTTTAGCTATATGATCATCAGGCAGGGATAATTTTGGAAAAGCAAATCAGCTAAAATTCTAAAATACAAATGTATATAGGCAAACAGGAATAAAAAAAAGTGTGTATTGGTGTTGTATAGCACTGTAGGAACTTCTATAGTAATACATGATGTTTAACCACATCACCATTTCTTCAATCTATTGTAACAAGTCACTACCATATAAGGTAAAATCAGATTTCAGCAGCTTGCTTTCCTGTTACTTTTGTAAAATGTCAAAGAAAATTGATTCTGTAATTTCAAAATAAAATTATCATTTTTAAAAATAATATCACTAGAAATTTTTACAATTGATTTTACATTAAATAGTTTGTATTTGAGGAGACATCATTAAAACTAATTGTGAATAGAAATTCCTGATGAGATATGTACAATTCTTTAGTACCCACCCACTGTCTCACAAATCACTGGATGTCTCCTCACTGCTGCCTTCACCAAAGACAGCAAATCATGGAAGCCTTCCACACTGGGGAAAAAATTGCATCTCTTAAAAACCTCTAGACATTAGTAACAATGCAAATATATATAAAAAAAAATGTAGCAAAGAAAAATACAGTGTACAGGGAAACAATCACCCAGAGGCATTATTTCTTCTCCTTTGCTCCGTTCCATTCAAGTTAAATACTTGTCTTCCCCATTGTTAGACTTTGTCTTAAAAGAATAATAAAATGTATTTTATTCTAATTTTTACTTAAAACTTAAACCACTGATTTATTTAGGTCATATTAACAAAAAAACTGAATGGGCGAAAGTTAATCTGAAGTGAAAGTGCCCCTGTAGACATATTTGTGCTTACTTTACCAAATAGGCTTCAGTATTACCTTCGTATATCCACATGTCCATACTTAGAAACGAACAATCTGACAAGAACCAGAAAACCAGAACATTGTATCAAAAAGAAAATATTACCTTAGGACTGGGACTTCTGATGGTTTGAAGGGTGCGGTCTCGTAACATTTCTTTTTTTTCGTAGAAATAATTTTCTTCTGTTTATTTAGAGATATATCATCCTGAATGAAGTATTTATTGTTTACATTTCCATCAAGCCAAGGAGATTTCTCAAAATTGGCCATCTGCTGTCCGTCATCTCTGACAGGATTCAGTTCCGGTACATGTATCAACAGCTTCTGTGTACCAATGGTAGCCATCACTGTTTTACCTTGATTGCCTTGTGAAAAACTGGATGTCTTTGTTGAATCGCTTTTCAGTGGATTCTTTACATCTTGATCTCTAGATGAAGTAAAGGTCATTATCGGTTGTTGAGTACTGGCAGTTGTTATGCATGACGCCACAGAAGGAATAGCCCGCGTTGTTTCTCCTGAGAGTAATGAGGTTTTATCCCCAATACAAGACTCTATAGACTGTCCATTTAGTAATTTTACCACGGTTTTTCTGTCTGAATTAGGTAAGAGTTGTTTTGATTTTGGTGCTATTGACACACTATGCGTTGACTTTGAAACATTGTTGAATGTTAGCAGAGTTTTACCCGTAAGCAAACTTTGTGTTTCAACCTTTTTTGTAGCTGTTTCCACATGAGCGTTATCAAGACCTTTCATTTGTGTTAACCATTCGTTTTTAATTCCAACTCCACGGGAAGGAGCTACAGAGGTCTGTAATAAGGTTCCTAGGGAATTAGTCGTTGATGTTACCGACTGTGATACGATCCCCTGACCACTGGTCTGAACTTTTCCTTGATTTTGTAGCAATGTGGTCATTTTCTGTGGCGTACTTGGGGGAGATTTTCCCTGATAGCCTTCTATTGTCCCTTTCCCAACAATCTTCAATCCCTGTGGTGTGACCTTGAGATGACCTGAGGCTGACACTGACCCCTGACCTTGTTGAACCTGAGACAATGCTTTCGTAGAGCCAATATCCAATGTTTGTTCTTTAGCTGTACTTGTTTCAGAATTCAATGGGAAATTTGGCTGCAATTTTGATGACATTGTGACAGAATGTGAAAAAGAGGCTCCCTCCTTCTTTTCAGGGGAAGAATTGGCTACAGAGTATTTATGATCATTGTCTGGTTCAGCAAACAGGTCTTTCACAACCTTTGATGAAGAGTTAGTTGGATCTACAGTATCAGACTTAACATGGAAAACAGTACTAGGCTTTTTCAGATCTAAAGCACATGTTAAGCCCTGTGACGCTTGAGAACTACCAGTCACTAAACGTAAGTTGTGAGATTCTGATTTACCTGAGGTATTTTGTTGTGACCCTGAAGTAGACATTTGTGACTCCACCTTGATTAACAAAGATGAGGGTGACATGTTACTTTTAGGTGGCATTGCACTGGTAGATATTCTCTTATGTTCTGTTTTATCCACCTGTGAAGTATGAGATAACAATGACTTCTGTGTAAGGGAAGTAACTCCAGTTTCAAAAGAAGTCACACTTGCCAAAGGGCCTGGAGACACATTGGAAATAACAGATGAGGGTGTGGAGGAGGTATTATGGGTTGAGGTTTTGCTAGCAGTGGTTGACACTTGTTTGAGTAGATGATGTGGTACGAGGAAGATATTTCCAGAGCTGTCTTTACATCGTACATACAAAGTCTGAGGTGGTGTGGGTAGGTTCATGGGGCTGACAGACTCTTTTGTCTGAGCTCCACCCACCTTGCCTGCAGGTGCTGGCATCTGACCTTGTGATCCACTGCTTTCTGCTTGATTAGAAGTAACTATGTGAAAAGCTGGTGACTTTGTTCCAGAAGTGGGACCAGCCATGATTATGTTGGTAGCAGTCCCAGTAGCACCTTGCACAGTTGGTTTAACTTGTTTTGCTCCAGTACTCTCTGTAGCACATGGAGATGCAGTTCCACTTAGTGAGCCCAGTCCTTGTAGTACAAATGAAGAAGGACTTTGAGCTCCAGCCAATCTGTTAACTGTTCCAGATTGTATCAGAGATGGAGAAGCTACAGATGTAGAGGCAGTTTTAACAGTAGTTGTAACTGATCGGGAATCAGACATTTTCTTTAGAAGAGACTTCCCAGTCTGAATAGGAGGTTTTGTCACTGTTGATTTTGGTACACTTGATGCTGAAATAGATCCAAACCCGCCCAATACCACCTGTACTCCTGAGGAGCCTGACAGTAGCAGGGTAGAAGATGGCAGTGACGGAGAAGCCTGGGACCTGTTAACACCACTCTGAGGTATGATAATACCTGCCTGAGGATTGACGGTGCCTGCCTGAGGGAAAGTCTTTCCATCCATGGAATTCACCAGCAAATTTCCAACCACTAATGTATTAGAAAAAGAGTTGGATGGGTTAATTACAGGGAGTCCCTGTACATTGTTGATACACTTTATCAAAGACGTTCCACTCACAGCGCTTTTAGATTTCTGAGACACAGGACTTGATGAAGACTCCACAGCACTTTTAATAAAACAGTTTTCCTTATTTGAAAGATTGGCAATGCCTGTTCCATTGTCATTGTTTCCCTGAGATTTAATCTGTGATGGAGTTGTCTCTCTTTGCGGAGTTTTTTTGTCAGCCATATTTCCTTTCTTTGGTGTTGTTTGCTCCTTGATCGTGTAATTTACATCTAACACTTCCTGCTTGGTCTCCATATTTTCACTGGTATAACCATTCACATTTGAGGCGGAGCCCTGTTTTGAAGTCTCTTTCTTATTCACAGATTTACCCTGCTTTGTTCTCTCTGGAATTAAGTCTCGTTCCAGCTCAACATCAACCACCTGCAAGAGTTACAAACAAATTTTTTAATAGATTTATAAGATATCAACAATAAGGTTTTTTTTTTGTATTAGAATTATTATCATCTTTATAAATCTGCCTATTTCTATCTTCAAACTGTTATGTAAGTTACACATGGCCCAGTGATAACACGCTTGCCTTTCACCTAGCTGTCTGGGGTTCTATTACTAGAGTGGAGGTGAAAAGGTAAGTCACCTGCCCAACCACCTGGGGTTTCCCATGGTGCCCGTGTTTTCTCCTACAGTAAGACCCCTTGTGCTCTTCCATCTGAGCCAATAAGTATAATCAATATAAGCTGTTGTTTTGCAATTGTTGTAAGATAAACAAAGTTTATATATTTACTAAAGTTACAACTCTGTGTCACACAAGATGGAATAAAATAGATGGTAAAAATAGTAATTCTGTAAAACAAACCAAAAAAGTTAATGTGCTGGGGTAATCTAACGTACACTTGTTCAGGAAATAATCTTTAATCTAAAATAGACATTTAGTTCTTACTGTTTCTGCTCCCAGAGTCTGCAAACCAGTGTAAGTTCTGTCCAGCTGCAGGGAAGGAAACATTACAATTATTTAGAATGTTACAGTAGATATACTTAGGGGAACACTCCTCTGCTGAAGCAGCCCATGTAGGAATGTCCTCTCTTATAAGTATCATTATTTAAATACCATTACAGTGTAACTCCCTCTAAACAAAGATCACCTCTTAAAACCAAACGAAATGTAGTACATATTAAACATAATATAGGTTAACTACAATGACAATTTAAAACCATATTGAACAAGTCCATTGCTTCACCGAAGCGAGAAACTGCTACAGATAAAATTAAAGAAGTACAGAGTTAAAAAAAACACTGTTTCACATCTACATCGTGAGTAATTGAATAAAGATTATTTTAACACATACAGAATAGAAATATTAATAGAGTGTTGGTCTAGCAGAGTTTTTATACTCAACAACAAAAACACATATTCATCAAATAAATTGGTTGGTAAGAAGCCGACCCTAGGACCGGGACTAAGTCAGGCCATATGTAATGTTATTATTTTCTAGATCGTTGGACAACGCAAAGATTTCTAGATTTCTTTTTGACTAAAGTCACATATATAATACAGGTATCACTGGTTTTTTTTCACTTCACTAAAATATTTTCACTCTGTATATATGTGAAATATTTTCTTCTGTATTCAATTGGATATGTACAGTGTAAATGCTTAAAGAAACATAATGGTTAACAAGAGGCCTAGCAGTATTGACAGACACCTGAGATAAGCAATATTCAATATAAAGGTTAAAGGGTAGCTTTGAAGAGTAATGAAAAAGAAATTTTGACAATGATGATAGTAAGCCAGTGTCAATACAGACATACCATCAACACTGTCATCCTATACTAATAAATCTTATAAAACTATTTCCAGTGGAAAGTAAACAATGTTATGTTCCAACATGCACTTTTTCTATGAAAACTACAGTAAAGTTCGAAAAAAACTTTCTTCCCAGGAAGAAATGTGAGACTCATTTTGGTAATTACAGCACCTTAAGATACTTCCATTCATAAGGAGCATTTTATTCTACCATACCTAGGTGTTGAGAAGAAGATTCTTGAAATTTAAATCAATTTAACCCATTTTGGCCCTGCCCATCAGCCCCTGGGGGGGGGGTCAGTCAAGATCAATATGGGCAAGCCATCAAGCCATCATCCTTCACTCCTAATTCTAACCAAGTTTGAAATATTTGCAATGGAAAATAAACAAATTATGCTCAAAAATCTAGTTTTCCTTTAAAAATTATAATAAACTTTACCACCTCCCCATGAGGATATGGGAGATCCTTGGACCATGAAATTTACAATTTTTGTGAAGCACTTAAGATGCTTCCATTCATGAAGAGCATTTGATTCTATCATATCTGGAGGTTGGGAAGATTTTTGAAATTGGACTTAATTTGATCCCTTTTGGTCTCATCCATTAGCCCCTTGGGGTCAGCCAGGATCAATATGGGCATAACGTCAAGCCGTCATCCTTCACTTATAATTCTATCCAAGTTTGAAATATTTGCAATGGAAATTAAGCAAATTATAAAATTATAGTAAATCTGTAAATTTCTTTCATGGAGGGTTTCAGATTGTTAAACTGAAACATCAATTCATTACATAACCTGACCTTAAGCTGGTGGATGATGTCAAGGCGTTTGTTTCTTGTATCCTTGAAGTGCAGCTGAACTCTTACAGGAAACTCCCCCCAGCCTCTCCTTGTCAAGTGGAATGGAGGATGACTAAAGCAAAACAAAATATACATCACTACAGGGAAATCCACCAAGTCGCAGACGAGCAAAAACATACACGGTGTTGGAAATTCTAAAAAACCATTAGTTTGATCTTTTTTATTCTATATCTTTATTGACATATATTCAGACGGTGTGTACAAAATACGAACATTCAAGAAGTTGTCATATTCCTTAAAATAACTAAACTTTCATGTTTTGCACCCTCAGATAGACCAAAACAATCCACCTGTTTCCATAAGTAAATCATATCATAGTGTGTCATAAATAAAGCATACAGACAGAAATGTAACATCGTATCTTCATTCTGTTTCTCTGATGTAAACTATCTATATACTAACACATACTCCCCTCTCCTTCCCTACAAGTTCTGCCCTATCCCTGTCTGTAAATACTGATTATGTCCAACTGGGAGAGGATTCTTTATTTATAAATACTACAGATATACATACCTGACTTCCACTAAGTCATTAGGCCTATAGCTTGGGTGCAACAAAAACCAGACTTTTTTAACAAAGTGGTCAATATGGGGCTGGTCCTTGGGTCCTCTAACATACACCATCCACTTGTGTGTGGGCTGGTCATTCTCCTCACGTCGCTCCACTGGAATGTACTTGGACACATTGCCAACAATGATTCTCTTCTTCACTTTAGCACTTATTGATCGACCACTGGCTGGGATAGCATCACCTGTTTCCTTGACAACATCCTTGACTTCTTCTGATTCCTAAGAATGAATCCAACAATGCTTTTTACCAAATATATTATTTGGATTCTTACAAATGCATCAAAGAAACACTGGTCAGCATTTCTGTTCTATATAAAAATGCTAAATTTTAGTGAGTTTAATTATAATTTTGCCTCTAATCATTTCACTCGCAGTTCTACATCACTAGTATTTTGAAAACATTTTTTCCCATATAAAATATACAGTCTACCTTTCCACATGCTCTAATATTGATTTTCTCTTTATGAAAACTTGCAGGAAAATATTATAATGTTATAATGATATCATTTTCTCCTGGTTTGCTCTCTCTCTATATATATACTTTGAGACACATGCAGGTTACCTCCCTTTGCTGTTTTTATTTTGATACATCTAGGCTACCTCTTCTTAGTGCCATTTGACTGAAAACCAATTGCTGCCATCACGACAAACCCAAGTTAACTTCTCCTTTATACTAATATCATAAAAAAACCAAGTTAACTCCTCTTGTTGCTTATATCATTACACACACAATTCACCTCCCTTTGGTGTAAATAATGTAGTTACCTCCTCCTTGCAATGGCTAGATGATGACAACCGAGTTGAAGTAACACTCTCAGAGACAGCAGAAAGCAGCTCAGTTCCTGGTTCTGTTTTGATGTCATCAGCACAAATTAGACTGGAGTGTCCCTTTGGTGCCTTGCCTAGATGTTGTTTCACTGCTGGATGAATAGACGGCGCCTGTTCCGGGTCAGATGTCTTACCCTGCAACATTGCATCATTTTTATCGATCACCTTTTGAGTGTCTGTTCAAGCTAGTACTACCTCAATTATGCTAAGATTTGTTGGTCACTTATAACCGTTTGAAGCCATTGGTGCAAAAGTATCTTAAAACCACATAATCATGAAATTGGTCGTGTTAGAAGTTACAAAATGCAAATATTTGTTAAAGCTTAATCTTCAGTAATACAAACAAATGTCATGAAAATTAAATTCAATTAAAAATTTATATATTTATATAGATGACAGACATGACATATGACCTGTACAATACATGTCTTACCTGCCATAACTTGGTCTGACCTGCTGAGCCATAGTAATTAGCCACGATGCAGGCTCTTAGTCTGTCCATGATAATTCTGCTTTGATTTAGCCTCTGTGAGAACACATAAATTTATCCAATGAACACTTTGATATAATGCTCCTTATTCAGATACACCAACACCTTGATACCATGCTTTAATTTCAATACACTTACACCTTTGCATAATGCCTCATTTAGATATATTAACATCCTTGTATAATGCCCTCATAATTGATAAATTGTACCTTGATATGATGACACTTAGTACCACAAAATAAGATTATGTTGTCAGATATTACATAATTTACCAAGTAAATTTCTTCCATAATAGATAACTGAACTCTATATGCCAGGTCTTTTTAAGTGTTTTTAAACTTCTTTACCAGTAGATAGTGAGATTAATAAGTAAGCTAGTGTAAAAGTATCATTTCAAACTTCCAACTGATTGGTTATTTCTATACCAGGTAATTTTGTATTTTGTGTAAATGAACTTTATAGATAAAAAAATAGAAATAAATTGTAACATGAATTTACATTTAAAGGTAATAAATACAATCTTTGAATAATATGGAAATATTACCAGTAAATTTAGGCTTATGCTACAATACAGCTATTTCTTATTTCATATTGGAATATATGTAACTAAATGTATTGGAATAGAGAATACATGGGCAGTGTAATGAAATATAAGCTGTATTCTAGCTAGGGTGAAGTAAGACAAAAATAGCAAGTCGCTGCGGAGCTACTTTTGTCTTCCTGTCCTGAGCCAAAATGCAAGCTGTATTATCAGTCACTGACTATGCATTCTATTTATCCTGCAACATTGATTGAAAGTCAGCCTCTCAAACTTCAACAGTTTTGTGGTTCACTCTCTGTTTGCCTGACATCAACATTAACGCCGGAGTTTTGACTGATGATGACTGACAAAACATTTGCTCTATGCAGAAATACAGTTCCTAAGTTCATTGGATATAACAACAATTTTTTATAATTTTCATAAAACAACTTATTCATTGCAACATGTGAAATGGCTGTTTTCAGCAACTTTTTCATCTTTCTAAATGTAATATTTCAGCAAATATTTAAGAAACTAATTATGTCAAATTGATGCACATGTTTAAATACAGCTATTTTCTGTCACTGTCGAATATAACAAAAATGTACTTGGCAGGTGTCTCCCGACAATGGCAGGGACAGTTGCAGGATAAAAACAAATAACATCTGCAGTTCTTTGACAGCAGTAGGAGTGCTAGCTATTTGCAGAACCTAAAATCAAATCCTGATAACATAACTGTCTTCTCATGTGCCAGTTTGCTTCATTTTTCATTCTCATTGAATCATTCTCTTATGTTTCTTGCTAAATAAAATTTCTTGTGATATATTCTAAAATGTTTGCTTACCAATTGTCTAGAGAAGGAAACTATATTATGAAAGAGTAAATTTTCAGGATAAATTTGCCATCTACTGTACCTGGTCAATCAAATCTATTTCCATCTCTCTGCTATGTATTTCAGCAGCAAATTCTTTTTTTATGATATTTTCTATCTTCAGGCGTGTGGCAACTTTGGCTAAAAAGAAATCAGAAACATTTAATAAATCAAATAAAACATTCATCATCATAATGATTGTGTGGTCTTAACAAAGTTATGGGAAGCCACCGACTACAACAAACTTTTACACACTTTCTACCTCACAAACTTTTACACACTTTCTACCTCACAAACATTTATACACTTTCTACCTCACAAACTTTTACACACTTTCTACCTCACACAAACATTTACACACTTCCTACCTCACAAACTTTTACACACTTTCTACCTCAAACAAACATTTACACACTTTCTTCCTCACACAAACATTAAAACACTTTCTAACTCACACAAACATTTACACACTTTCTATCTCACAGAAACATTTACACACTTTCTACCTCACAAACATTTACACACTTTCTACCTCACAAACATTTACACACTTTCTAACTTACACAAACATTTACACACTTTCTATCTCACAGCAACATTTACACACTTTCTAACTTACACAAACATTTACACGCTTTCTACCTCACACAAACATTTACACACTTTCTACCTTACACAAATATTTACACACTTTTTACATCACACAAACATTTACACACTTTCTACCTTACACAAACATTTACACACTTTCTACCTCACACAAACATTTACACACTTTCTATCTCACACAAATATTTACACACTTTCTACCTCACACAAATATTTACACACTTTCTACCTCATAAACTTTTACACACTTTCTTCCTCACACAAACATTTACACACTTTCTACCTCACAGATATGGATCAGAATTTTCTAGAAACGTTATAAGTAACTTACAGTTTGCATGCCATATTTACCATCTTGTTCTAAAACTCGCTGTCGTTTATTTTGTTGCTCTGTTACATCTTGGTAGTCAGGGTCCAAATCAATCCTCGACCTCTTGGTAGCCATTTTTCTATCACATGATGCTTTGAAAAAAAAAGAAGAAATTCATTCAACTTTGTGCACTTACCCACATCCTCTATACTCCAGTGATTATAATCACTTTTGCTTTCTGTAGCCCTTCTTTATGTCACTACGTCATTATTGAACTTTCAACACATTTGTGCCAGACCTGCTTAAGTGACCAGTTGAAATGAAGTAACACTAACATGTTACTAAATGACAGATCAAACTTGAAACGCCGTCTCTTAAACAGGTACCTTTTTTGTAAAATAATTGTTACAAAATGTCCCTATACAATATGCACATGATACTTTTTTTATTGTTGCATCAGTTCCATTTTTATCGAAGGGACATTTGGTACACTGCTATACAGCCTTTTTTCCATATCTGTATACATACATTATGGATTTATTTAAAGTCTGGGTTTTGAATGACACATACATTTTCATACAGATTTAAATAATCCAGGGTTTCATGTAAATACTTCTGTAACCTAAAATCAGGACAAAACTTTTACATGTAAAAAATGGAAAAAATAATTATTGTTTACTCTCGTAACATAAATCTGATGGACCATCAACACTCTCCACTACAGAGATACAAAAATGTCTGGTTTATATAAAAACAAAATGCAGAAAGGAAATAAAACAGACTTGCTGTTCTAATCATTGCTAGCATCCATTTGTATACCATATCTGTAGTAGATCCATGTGTGTTTTGTATGAACTCAAACTATCATATTTGAAAGCTAGGTCAACACAGCCATGTACTGCTCCAGAAAGTTTCTTTTGGGATAAATCATTACTTAGAGTCTGTATCATATCGATATGATGATTTTATTTGGGATAATTAATGGTCAAACTGCAAGCACACATAGTTGCCATCAAGTTTGAATCCATAAACAGAGATGAAACCGAATAGTTCCTTCTGCCCTAATTTGAGGGTGGAAAGTGCATCAAAGAAATAATGCCTTAGAAATAAGTGTTGAAAATCAGCACAATTACGCTTGATAATAAATAGGCCGTTATAACGCTCTAGGAGTATATAGTTCTGCTAGGCCCAGATGGCTGCCTGGAATGATTACAGATGATGCATTTTCTAGTTTAGAACTTCCAGTTTGGATCGGTATACTATAAAACGTCTGGATTATGTGACAGGGAGATATATACAATTTCTACTATCACTAGATGTATATAATTGACGGATGTTTCGTGTAATTAAAGCTACTGGCCACACATGTGCGCCCTCCCGGGTTGCACGAAAAATAGTGAAGTGACAATATTAAATAATATATGTAATTTTTTTACAATTAACAAAGAAACGTTGGCTGAACGACCGTACAAATCAGAAGGAAAGTGCATATTTGTGCGTGAGGTAGCTGCAGCCAAAGTACAGCGAATATCTGTATGAAAACACGGTCAGCCCTTTAGAGATGAATTTCCCGGGTTTTCGAAACGAGAGATCTATCCGAACGATTTGCCTTCGCTTGTAAAAGATTATTTAGCAATTGATAGTGCTAAACAGAAAAAGCACCTAATTACTTTTGAAAGAATATTTACGGATACCCTCCTGTGTGGCTAGCTTCAACAGCTGACAAAAATAAAATCAGTTCTTCTCACATTATTGCATGGGGGCAGCCATATTGTCATCGACCAGGTTCCTTCGGAACTTCTTGGAGCTTATCCATGAAACATTAAAACGGCTACTGAAGCACAGCGATTGGTTGGAATCTCAATTTATGACACCGGATAATTGGTACAGAACTGAATACGCAGATTTTTAAGTGTTTTCCGTTCATAGATTTTTTCTTTAAGCATTCTCCTATCAACAAGACATTTTTGTAAACTTGATTCGATTAGATTGGATAAAAAATACAATTTTATTATATGAATCTTCAGCTTACTAGAGACAATATAACGACTAAAACAGCAACACAAAAAATAAACACAAGAAAAGATCTCAATTTATCGTCTACAAAGAAACATCCCCTGAAGAAGTATTCTTACGACAAAGCATTACAACATCACATAAATTACAAGTGTTTAGAAATACACCATGACAGCGTATCAGTGACTGAACGTCGTTTGCGCATTAAGTATAAATGAAATTAAATACGATGGACAGAACTTTGCTTATTGTAAAATCTTTATACAAAATTAAGACTGAAATAGTCTATTAATTGTACATCAAAATTGATAATTACAGTGAAGACTTTTGAAATAAAAAAAATTCACAGGAATTTAAAAAAAGAGTTGATCATTATCATTTGAAATAAAAGATACAACAGGGCAACACACATGCATGTATCTCTATTTGTCTCCAAGTTACTAGCCTCTTATGTGAGAGTAAAACCATTGTAATCAATAATCACAAAGTATTGGAAGAAATAGTAAACAAAGAACCGGTTATTTCTCTACCACTGAAACACAGGTGTACATGACACAAAGCACTATTTATATATATATTTGAAAATATACTTTATCTAATTTACAGCATTTGCGAAAAAAAAAAATTCCAACTTAAATTTATCACTCTTGTTGGCCCTGAAGGAAGCGTGAGAGGGGTCTTACTGTTGGAGGAAATCGGAGTACGCAAAGAAATCATACATGGTCGGGCAGGTGACCCTGTACCTTTTAAGGCATTTTTTGTATAGAACACCCTAATTTAATCCCATAAACTCGATCCCGATGGAATGACGTTATCAGAACACTGACGTTCGTCGTTGAGACGATCCCGGGAGACGGAAAACCTACCTACCAACCAATCAACCCAACCAACGAGCCAACCAACAAACCAAGGGTGGAATGGGTGGTGAAATTCCTTCCAACTTACTGATAACCTCAGATATTGGTTAATTCGATGTTGAAGGCTTCTAAAGCTGTCAGTTTTAATTAGTTTAAATTCCTTAAAAGGTTCTTTTTGGTTGTGTGACAGCATGAATCAGTAGTGTTTTGGCGGTGTATAAACTGGCCCACGTTATAAACAGTTTTTTTGGTAGGAGGGAGATCAAAGGGGGCCAAACAATCAGATAATGTACTATTATTGTATCATGAAAAAAATATATATCTTAATATATTGTCGTTTTTAGAGACGACTACGTCACAAACAAACAAAAGTCAACCACGAAAAGGGTCAGCAACAACAGAGTTGTCAATCTGTCTGACCACACCCTGATTGCCCGAGAGACTTCAATGCTCTCTAAGGGCTTAAATTTCTGTCCCATCCCACGGAATCCAAACAACGCAGAATTGGTACACGGATAGCTTCTACATATCACTCCGTCTTCGCGTACACTTTGACAAAGACGAAGAAACGGATGACTCTGCCACAGAGGCCCCTGTAAACCCATTTGAGATAAAAAGTACACGAAAGACACCACCCAGAAAAAATCCCGTACTGGAAGCCTTTGTAGGCGCGGTAAAACAGGCGATATCGGAACACCGAAACCCATGCGTATAACCTTGGGATGGAAGAACGGAAGACATTGCAGGCCTTAAAACAGAACACCGATATCGTGATCAAACTAGCCGACAAAGGCTCCGCAGTGGTTGTCATGAACAGAGAAGATGGTTACATTAAGGAGGCCAATCGCCTGTTATCAAATGAGAACTCTATCGCAAAGTCAATCATGATTTGACGTTAGAACATGCTCGAAAGGTCGATCCTACAATCGACAGGATATTCAACATAGGAGACATAGATACAGTTACAGCAGGTTTTTTACGCTGCGATTTCCCAAAGGCATAGGATTTCTACCTCCTCCCATAAATTTACAAGGCTGGTGATCTTGGTAGACCTATCATTAATTAGAAGGACCACCCCACAGAAACAATCTCAAAGTTCATCTGCTTCTACACAAGACCTCATGTAGAAGACCTACTATCTTACTTGAACGATACCACAGACTATCTAAAAAGACACCATGTAGCAATGTACCTGAAGATACGCTCCTGGTAACTATGGATGTAGTCTCCCTGTACACCAGCATCCCACATGAGAATGGCATCTTAGCTTGCCGTACAGCATTGGACACCAGGGAGTACAAACATCCTTCAACAGGCAGTTTGGTAGAACCTCTAAAGTTAGTGGTCACGTTGTGAACAACTTCACATTCAACGGAGAGTATTATCTACAAATCAGTGGTACAGCCATGGGCACCAAGATGGCAGCATCATATGCAAATATGTTTATGGGCCACCCTGACTCCAGGCTACTTGCAGCAGCCCCCTTGAAGCCACTCAGCTGGTTTACATTGAGATCAAGTAAACATTCGGTCGAGAATCTCTTGAAAATTTTATTTGTTTTGCAAATGAATTCCACAGGACCATTAAATTTACTACTGGGAATTCCGATAAGAAAACACTTTCTTGGACACTTGCTCAACACTCACGGATTTATACAGTAAACCCATGGACACTCACCAGCACCTTCGCCCATCTAGTTGCCACCCACCTCATACCACAAGGAGCATTCCATACTGCCAAACGTTGAGAATCAGACGTATTGTTTCTGACGACGACGTCTTTAGATGGCCTTGCTTAGAACTGAAGTCCCCTCTACTTAACAGGGGATATAAAGCAGCTCTGATCGACCGAGAAATCGATAGAGATAAAGAACTAGACAGGGAGAGTACACTTGAATTCCAAGTTCGACCAAAAACTAGGAGAATACCTTGTGTTGTGACCTTTCACACCAGCATGCCATTATTGTCGACAATCTTCAAGAAACAGTGGTAAATCCTACTGTCGCACAGTAAACTTCAGAACACTGTCCGAGAACCACCAATACTAGCATATCACAGACCGAAAAACACCAAAAGACCTGGTGGGGAGCGGTGAGCTACCAACAACCACTGCAACTGGGTGTTTCAAAACATGTAATAGCAAGAAGTATTGTCCGTATACTCACAACACCAGTTCATTCAAATGTGAGGTCCATAATTACCACAACCTTCAGTCAGTGTCATGCAAGTCGGCCAATATACTTTATCACGTGTGTCAAGTGCCATTTGCAGCATGTCAGGGAGACAAAAACACTACTTGATCTCAGGATCAACAATCATCGATGTTCTATCAAACAGAAACTGTACAAATATTTACTGAGCAAAGCTTTATGCAAGGAAAAACTTACAATGAAATGACAACAACGCTTTCAAGTTTCCACATCATTGCTCCTCTCTGTCCTCTTCTGGATTTCAGTTCTCCAGGCACTAGCTTAGAGCAAGGCAGGAGGCAGGAATATTTTGTAAATTCTGCAATATTTCAAACCCAAACCTACAATTTCTAGTATAAGACGAGTGTATTCGGTTGTTAGAAGTGCGACATTCAGTAGATTAATGTGATTAATCCTTATCTTGCCAGTTGAATTCTTCTATATCTACAAGTAATATGTGTAGGTGTATCTCGCAAAATGTCGCAGGAGGCGATTGCGTGTAATTGTGGGAAATACTTAAAGGTCGAGAGTAGTTTTTTACCTTATCTTTTTATTTAGTCTTTCTCTCTGTAACAGAGGTCATTATATATTTCTATGCCTCCGATAGGATATGAACCCGGCTTACTGTCTGGCGTTCAACTGACCGAGCAAAAGAGAAGCTCTCTTTAGTATTGCGGAATATTGCGGCTAGTATTTACCACGGTTGCATACTCCCCCTCTAGGAAATAACTCGTCCTCGAGTGTCAAAATGTTACAGCGGCACTTGTGAAAGAAACACCAAGCATTCTTCCCGAGTCTCTATATAGGCGCCAATGTAACAGAAGTCACTATTCATTTCAATCCCTCCGCTAGAATTCAAACACTGGACCTCTTGCTTACCAGTCTGACGCTCAACCGATCGAGCTAAAGGGAAATTTTCTGTCATCGAGTGGTATATAACGGCCAGTAACACCATCTTCTCTCTTGGTACTGTCTCATTTTGGCCTTTAGTTCACTCCTGTATTAGAAAGGCTTTGAGTTCCGTCACCTGGCCGAGACATATCAGAGTATTTAAAAATGGCAGATGCTACAATGCATTTCTTGCAAAACGTTCATCATTGTGGTATTTTAACGACTGGTTTGCCAGCTGTCAATATAATATGACGCCGCACGAAGTGTCCTGCAGAGGCCTGCGACAGTATACTTCAGTGTGATAACACTACGAAAACTTAAATCGTCTGTAGTTCCGCAATATCACAAGGAGGCTAGGGTGAACATTACAACCCCCAATAAAATTGTATTCACCCTGCATACACAGCACAGTTGGAGGCTGACCTTAAATGACCCTAACTGTTCATGAGACGTTAAACAATATAAACAATGCAAAGCATTACATATAATATACTCTCTAACCCATCCTAGTGCGATTCTTGAAAAATCTGCATTTAAAACCAATGTAACGGAACAAGTATTTCTGAAATTGGCTTTATCTTTTTATAGAATAATTTTAGTTACTAGTGTCACTAATATTTTCTTAATTGCACATGTAACCCAAGTAGCTACGAGAAAAAACACCGATCTTATCCTAAACTTTACTGGGAGTAATTAAATACAAGCAACTACAAGGTGAAGTGTTAAAGGCCCTTGTTCTATCGTAAAGGAACTCGCAGTCACAATTCTGGAACAAAATAATCAGCAGTGGCACGGATGACAAGCGAGGGTGACGTGTCGATGTTTTAGAGCATTCTTTTACAGTGGTAATAATGGTAAATAATTCATCGTTTTCCCTTATCTTAATCTTGAAATCGTATGCCTGAACGTGTCGTGGAGCCATATAATGGAAAGCCAGATACAATGATAACTATATACAATGATAACTATCGCTAGCGAAATTAGCATTGAACTATGTCGATCAAGCACTTCATAAGAATATATATAGAAATAACAGTAATTTTCAAGACGCATGTTATAAAGTTAATTCGCTGGCTAATAGCATCTATAGGTTGTCTTAAACATTATTCTTTGTATGTTCTAAGATATCCCACGTAAAATAAGAATTAAGATCAGCTTCGCCCTTTGTTATAAGTGAAAACTGAATAAGTATACACAATGAATATGTTTGTCCGTAAAATATATTTCCTCCTGAGACGAAATCAATACCTCTATGAAATCATTAATATTTGATTGTTAAAAGTGCAGTTCTACACAGGTGAAGTACAGAGAAGGTAGTTCAGCGTAAAATTCAACACACCTGAAGACTACGTTTGTAAGTGACGTTGTATGACGGTCTACACCATTAAACCCCGAAGAAACTTGAACGGTTATGTATTGATGAATCGGTTCAGTCATGGCAGTCATTACTAACGACACCTCTATATAGTAATTTCACAATGAAGCGGATTACCGCAGTCGTACTAGTGGTGTTTCTTCCATGTAAGTATTGTGTATTATATTGTTGTCCAAGAGGGGTTTTCTTCATCGGCTTTGTTTTTGTACCAGGCGGAATTTATCGAAAAGTTCATAAATACAAGTAATATATTCCTAAAGGTTCACTTTGGGATTTATATTTTTCTGTAAATACAGATTTGCCAACTAGAATTGAAAATAAAGAAATGAAAAACGTATCAGACTCTCCCTGATCAGTTGCTTACCGTGGCATTACTTACATAGTGATCGACAGGGACAGTTTTTCACTAAGCTTTATGGAAAGTGTTCTCATGATAATTTCTTTATCATTGGTCATTCCTAAATAGCTTACTTCCCGTTTCCCACACCTATTTTGTTTACAATAGGTATTTCTTTCGATGTTTTATGATTTATTGATACAATGTATCACAATGGAATCGAGCATATATATATATATATATATATTTTATTCAAACATATTTTATTGATAAATAAACAAAAGGATTAGGCACAAGTTCTTACAACTTACTAGGCCTTCTCCCGAAAATACAACACAAATGATTAAATATATATAGCACGTGATGGCAGGAACATACAATATATACACAATGACAATTTACTATTTCAATTAATAACAATAAAGAAAAATAGGGTGGGTGAGGAGAGAGGAAGAAAGAAGGGTGGGACCTGAAGAAAAGAAAAGAGTTCTGGTTGCACTGATTGTACACTAATTGGTTTCAAATCTCTTTGTTGATTTTATAAATGACTGTACGGCAAGAATGATGTTAACATCATTTTAAACATTTTTTTAAACATCTATCACTTCCTATCGATTTATCAATATTTTGTTAGACAACTAAAAAACGTTGATCATCTTGTTGGCTTTGTCCGTTTCATGGGTAGATTAATCATCTGTGATTTGGACTATTGACACTAATAATCAACTTATTTAGAAAAAAGAAATGAAATCGGATTCTTTTGTTTTAATTATTGAAGTATTTTTACCTAGATATTGAATTATATCTACCATTCATCGCTTATACGTTTCAGCTTATGTTTATATAGATAATTATATAGGGTGTAATTGCTTGATTATTTTGATTGACCAGACATGTTTTTAATAATATATTTTAATAATATTATAATATTTTGTGTTTCCTTATCAGTTTTCCATATTAATTTATTCCCACTGTGTCTAGATACGTTTTAGATATTAAGATATTACACATTCACAGGTATTGTTTTTTTCTGGTAAATGTCATGAGAAGCATGACATGTAGTATTTGATGGTTTCACTGACCTGTATTGAATTAAAAACACTAGATGGCACAGTTTTCACCCAATATTTCAACTATATATTATTCATATACATCGTTATTAATTTTAGGTGTTTTCCTGGTGTTGGCTGATGATCAGTACAGAAAAAGGACAGATCTTACAAACCATTTTGTGACAAAAATACCTTGGATATTAGAGCATTCATTGAACATTCTTCAATGTGCTAGATTTTGCGCCAATCATGCTGACTGTGTATTTCTAGCCTTCAATCATCAATCATTGGATTGTCATGTTTTCAGAGAAGACAACAACACATGGTCCACAGAACAAAGAATTAACCACTACTGGTTGTATTTCGAAGAAGAAAATATGAATATCACTTTTTCTACCAAGAGCGTTGGTAAGTTGTTGATCTTCAAATTTTGGTAACAGAATTTTTGATAACGAGGGCAGATTACGTTTTTGGGGCCGCTATAACCGATTGTTTAAAACGTCTGACTGTCTTTATCACTTGCCTTCCACCTCTGGGTCGCGGGTCGAGACGAGACCTATGTGGAGCAGTCGCCAGGTACTGGGCACAGGTCTGTGGTTTTTCTCCGGGAACTCATCAGGCATTCATCTAGATTCATCTAGCATCTCAGCGGAACGGTTCCTGCCACCCACTGTATTGCGAAATTCCTTATTAGCAGTTGCTAACAACAAAGTTAAAAAGAGTAAAAAAGTTAGGATTCATTTAAAACTCCTAGTTGTTAGTACGAGAGAGATATCCAACAGTTCTGAACCTCATACATTTTCCCTTGTAGGATAATAAAATGTACAACAACTGTTATAAGCCTCTGTATTGACTACTGATATTGCTGCTGCAATGTTGTTTCTCACAATACTTTATTGAAGAGACAGGCCCAAGTGATTTGGTCAAATGAATAAAATTAAGTATAGAACGATAAGTTTCTGATCTTGGAGGGTTGATCTGCCAAACCACTGTATATGTTTTTTTCTAGTTGGAATAATAAACATTCTTTTCTCATGTATTCGTAAACAGCATACCTTAAATAAACAACAAAGGCATGTGAAGATGTGTTCGTATGGTGTTAAATAATTGGGGATCACCATCAGTGAAGCCTTGCTTACTTGGTAGAAAGTAAACTCAGATACAATCAATGGGCTAAAACACACCACAACACGAAGATGTTTAAAGCCCATATAGAAGGTTATGTAAGCAGTTTTGTATAGTAAAGGACAGATTCACATCGACCTCCAAACTCATGAGTACTGGTAGCCATGTAAATAAAATCAGTTGAGGGGCTTCACCAGGACAACGTGCCAGTCCAAGCCAGCCTAGGTGTTTTTGGAGGTGGATCATGCTTTAAAAAGACAAAGCAATATAAAACATTTAGTGTAACTGTGTAGCTTGTCTTTAAATTCTGGCAAATACAACTTTTATCATCATAATGGTATATAGCAAGGCTTCTAAACTATGCTTTAATATAGGATTTTGCTTAATTATTTATTCGTTTTCGGTTCAACTGTAATATTATGTATTTTATTTTTGGTATATATATATATTATTTGGTGTTTCAAGGCATGCTGTTTTTGCGCAATGAATAATGTCTCAAAAGAGAGATAAAAAAAAAAAACAGAAAAAAATCCCACCGGAACCTGCAGCAAATGTGTTGTTACGCCAGCAGTTGAAAATAACAGCCGATATTATGATCACTTGTATAACTGTTGGTAATGTTTTCCTTTCTTGCAACATATTTAGTCTTTCTGTTCAAAGAGGTTCAAATACTCTGCCCTAGATATATATTGCATTACACTACTAGTATCTGGTTTTGTTGTGCTTTTGCACGGGGTTTTGGCAACAGTATCTATGACGACGTTGTCAAGTAGCACTTCTAAAAGATAAAAATCATGATAATAACTTGTATGTCTATACAACAGTTGTAATGATTACATATGATGGTATTGTGGCAGACAGAAAAGTTTCATCTACAGCCGACAATACCATGAAACATAATTTTGGTTAATCAGTTAAAATTCACACTTCAAACATCTAAATAACTTAATGATCGTCATAAATTGTTTATTCATACTTGAAGAATCATTTGATTCAGAGTGTGGCACTGACGGATACGTGACAATCGACAGTCACTGTTTTAAAGTCCACGAAGAAAGCAAGACGTTTGACGACGCCAAATCTACATGTGACATGGAAAGAGGGAGAATGGCAGTCATAGACAATCAGACAACAGCTCTTGCTTTAAACGATCACATCAGAGCAAACCGTGAGATATTTGTCATTTATATGATTATTTTCCATTATTTTCCTAAACATTTTTTCCATGTGCGCTATGCACTTTAACGTTTGACAACCGTCAACGTGTCTCAAAAAATAAGAAAATGTAAGTCCCATCTTGTTTTCTTAAGGTTGTTTTGCAATAAAATATGATTCCGCTAATCACAGTTTCTATATGTAGTTTATATAGCAATTCTTGTGGATGTACAAATTAATCTTTGTGCTCAAACGCAAAGTTTGATAATTCGCTATACAGTCTAACTTGTATTAAACGGCCACTGTTGGGAAATTATGAAAGTGGCCTATATAGAGAGGTGGCCTCTTAATTGAGGTTCCTTATTTTCGAACCCAAGTTGCAGCAATTTGCACATTGACAGTTGAATACAGTTTAATAATAAGATATAAAACAGCATCTGTTATTATCTATTATCTTGTTGGCAAGTAATTTGAAGATAGACCAATCTTTATTTTATGACACAACTATAAATACAAAAGAACTAAATTCAAAGGAAGGCATGTACATGTTTTAATGAAGCTATTGAAAAATTCTTAATCGAAAATCGTAATGTTCTACCTGTATTTTCGCATGTGATTCAAGTCAAAACATTTTCTTCATGGTTTGGTTTGTTAATGCAAAATTATACCTAATAATTGTTAATATTTGTTTGAATATATTACATTTACGACCAAGAAAACGCAAATAGAAATTATTCATTCTTAATCTGCCTGCGTCTTCAATCAAACACTTAATGCCATGTCTAAACGACATCCAGTAAAAACAAGTATCTAGAGTGGGCGGGAACTTTAAAATGACGTCGCACGAAAAATGGCGGCGGTGTGGAAGCGCTCCAGTATTGTATTTATTGTTCTTACAACCTTCGAAAACGAACCACTGCGTTGTTTTTGCTTTCTATCCATTAAAACATTTCTTTATAAAATTTCTCGTCCTAGTTACCTGTAGTCGGGAATGTTTCTGGGTTTTACTCTACTCAGGTCACGGATAGCCGCTCTCTATTCTAGCGAAATGTTGATTTTACGAAGCGAAAACACTCGTGACTCGCAGTCAAGAAAGCTTTTCAATTGACTTGTGGTCAATACGGCCGTTTAAACGAGGTTCGATCGCGAGTTTTGGACGAAAAGGGTGGCCGCTGGCTGCATTATACAGGTGGTCGTTAAATTAGGTATCAATAATTAGCAAAAACGATTGGGAGGATCTGAAAACGGCCGTTATAAGCAGGTGGCCGTCTAACTAAGGTGGCCGTTATGACAGGTTAGACTGTAATTTGCTTGCGTCAAATAAACTTCTTCAACAATTCCATGTGTTTTTTTCAAAGCCTGTAAATCTTTCTGTTGTTTAAGCTGGTATTGATTAATAGCATGTCTATATTCAAATGGCTTTATATACTATGTCTGTTACGCTTTTTTCCAAATTAATCATTAGTACAGTAGTAGCAAACATTATTCAAACCGTTGTTTTTATTTTTATTTTAAGTAATCTTTCGTAAATCTAAAGGAACTTACAAGACAAAGTATACTTCAGTTTTAATCTGCGTATGTTAAATAAGAGTTGTTATGTGACAGTTCATACATTGCAGATACAAGTTTGGTTGGGTACTTGCTGGGTCTAACCGACAGGGAAGTGGAAGGGGAGTGGCGTTGGGAGAATGGCGACCTTTTAGGGGACTATCCGAAGTTTAACAGATTGCAGCCTAACGACAACGATAGACGGTACAATAACCAGGGAGCGGACTGTGGTTACATGTCGGTGGTGTGGCATTTACTTCACAAAGCTATTGATCAACTATACGACGACATCTGCAGTCATCCGGCCAATTTTGTCTGCGAAAGAGTGATAGTTTAGAATTGTCACATACGTTTTGAATAAACGTCAACCATATCCATAATCATGTAACTCCCAGATATAAGGTTATGATTCAGAACCTCAACTGATACCACCGGGTAGAATATATAATTTATTGTATGCTAAGCCATGGAGCATTGTTGATCTAGTGCCTGACAAATGCAAATAAGTGATAATTGTTAATACATTGTAGAAGATTTCATCTTTAAACAAATATGTTTGTTTATAAGATAGCTTATTTAGAATTTATGAGATATCTAATCTAAATAAATTCAATTGACAAAATAATATTTCTAAATTGGTAAATAAGATATGTTGTCCACTAGTTATCTTATTTACGAAATCGGATATGTTATTCACAAAATAAGATATATCATTTAGTCAATATGATATCACTCACAAGTTTTAGATATGCCGCCTATTTAAAGGCTGTGGACCTTATAACATCTACCTTTTTTCGACCTGATCCTTTTATATGTGAATCGACTTCCGAGTGCTAAGGGAGAGGGTTATCATCTCAAATTTAGATTTCGTTCTAAAATTCCTGAACAAATCAGATATTTATCTTATTCAGTTTTGTACATGAGATAGTTATTAACTAAATTATGAGGGCTGATTGATAGGTTGTGAGCCGCATATTTAAGGGTTTGACTTTTGGCGGACATGTTTCATTATTTTCAATGTAATCCCCTTCAGTATCTAAACACTTTTAACAGTAATGTTTAAGGGCCTCAATTCACTTTTAAAGAAGTCCTTTTCTTGACCGTTCAGAAAGTCCCCCACTGCATGGATGATGTCATCATTTAATCAAAAGTGGGTACCAGAAATTACCTATTTCAATTTTGGAAATAGATTGAAGTCTGATGTAGTGAGATTAATTGTCTTGGTACCCAACGGTAAGAATGTGAAATTTCAATTGTACTGGCTATATGTCTCTCTGCAACTCGCCTGTCAGTTTTAACAACACACGGACGTTATTGGTCATTTCTGGGGTTGCAACAATGAAAGACTTTGTTGGACAGGCGTTATCCGCAGGGCTCTACCACCCACCATTTCACTGTAGCATACAGAGGCGCATCATTTTCTAGTGTCGCTACCATACCAGTATAGATATCCTTAGGTGCTAGACTTTCTTATGCAAGTATTGCATCACTGCCCTTCATCGATTTTCCCCATTTTGCAAAAGTCACTTGCCTTGTTTACTTTAACGTGCTACCTCTTCAACATAAACTGACCAAATGGCACTGGTCTTCAGGTACACAGCCAAGGAATAGTAGAGCTGAAATAGGACATCCCTGCTTCTTCTATACAAAGTTCACAACCTACCAAGTAACCCTCATACGTATTCTGAAGCGTACTATTAGTCGAATAAATGGCATGCATGGTATACTAATTCTTAAAAGATAAATTTGTCATTCAGTTAGCTTTTTTTCAAAACATTAGCATAGAATATATAAAACTAACGACGTAGAAAATTCCTACCAATGTGTCTGTTGTCTCGTTTCGAGGTAATTTCCTCAAATGACGTCCTTGCAATAACGTGATAGAATTTGAGCGGATGAATTCTGCTTGCTTGATATTTGTTTTGTTATTGTTAACGTTCCCATCATTGTAATGTAGATACGTATTATTTATTTAAAGCTATACGACCAAAATGTTTTCACGTCATTAAAGGCTCCAAGTAAAAGTAGTACAACCAAAACAACTGATACTCTCAAATGACCGGTGATACATCTTTTGTCTTGAGCTACATTCATCTAAATCCACACGATTCTTATCTTTCAGATTTGTTGTGATTATGTCTCTTGTGAATTTGCCATTAAAGAATTTCCTTTGTGGGTATTAAGTTAGGGATATTACAGTAGAATATGATTACATCTTCGACCTGATTAAACTACCATAATTCATCATATTAACTGAACCTATATCTGTCTGTGCAGTTACCATCTCTCTCTCTCTCTCTCTCTCTCTCTCTCTCTCTCTCTCTCTCTCTCTCTCTCTCTCTCTCACTGTCTCTGTCTCTCTGTCTCTCTGTCTCATGTATACATTCCACAAATATCTCTAAACCCTTTATCATGTTTTGGAAACACTTTAATTCTTAAAAGTTTACGAATAGACTGGACCCAGACTTTCTTCAATGTATCATGATGTGTTTCAAGTCTACCTACATGCACATTATACATATCGAACTGATAATGTGGCAAAGGATTTAATATGAATATGGTGACTTATGCGTAATACTTTTGTTTCTATAAAAATGTTTTACTCATTATTCTATACACAATGGTGGTACTAATTAATTAAACACCAAAAATTCTGATATAAGTCAAAACAAATATTTCTTAAAAAGGAAGGGAAAATAGTGAACGAATTTAGTCTCCAATGAAATATTTATTATAGTATACTGATATATGATATTTGATAAGCTGTTTATACTTGACTAAGGAATAATTATTCCCGTGTGTTTTTCGGCGGCTGTGAAATCTTTATGGATTCTTAATTAGTGTTCATATCTGAAAGGCGATCAAACAGTGTACTGTAAACAAAAACATTAAACACGGTCCAGTGGTGATGATTCATCAAAACATAGGTATACCAGTGATAACGGAAATTCTTATTGTATACTGCACGTGTCGTATGAGGTTAATAATAATTCATCTTTACAGTGTGAAAGAATTGATTTAAGAAAATGCTTTAGATATTTCAAATGACAAAAGTTGCTTTATGAATCGATCGGAAAGTTGTATTAAGAGACATCATGATCGATATTTAAGGACGATTTCGGAGCTGAATGGCTAGAGTGATTCATTCGTTCCAGTTTTGTAACTCAAAGAACGTTATATTAAATGAGGTTTATTTTATTCAGGGGGTCATACACATATTTACACATTTTGTTTCAGTATAAACTGCCTGTGAAAATGACATTTGATCGTGTTAACCATGCTTGACATTGTATTTGACGAACAAAGTATTAGATATCAAAAGTAGATATGGGGTTTTGTACTCAATAAATATTTGATGTGACAATGGTAAAAAAAAAGCAAACGTTCATGGTAGAATAGTTCCATCGCTCTTGTTACCTGTTCTGAGAGATGAGATAAGCATGTACATGTGGTATTAATTGGTCAATCACATTTTATAAACTAGACGCTGATTGTACAATCATTTGAAAATAAAACAAAACAAAAACAAAAAAAAATCCCAAGATAATACATGTACAAACATTATCATAATCCCAATTCAATCAAACTAGAGCAAAAAATAACCAAAAGAATGATAAAGAAAATAAGACCTGATGTTCCAGAAGATCAAGTGTCCTCTTCTTCATCGACGACTCCTGCCATGTAAACCTTGGTCAATTCAAGTAAGTGATGTCACGTTCCCAAATGAGAACAAGGTATACAACAAAGGAACCAACAGGCAAACTAACGAGAATCAAACACGTCCAGTTTCATACATCACAAAGAAATCAAATGTTTCTTAATGATACCACTATGACGACCAGAAAACTACCATGTAATTTCCATCAACCCTGCATCTTTTGAAACCCTGTGTTACGGGTTTGTCTGAAAGTCGAAAATCGAAACAACTGCGACATGTAAACACGAAAGGCTGGTGATGCAGGAATGCTGCTTTCCAGAAATGAAAAAAATCACAATAGGTTAACTGAAATCATTACGCTTATCGTACAGCTTGATGGAAAGCTGCTTTTTTAAGATCGCGAGTCAGTGGGTTTACTTCAGTTACTTCTGACATGATAGCATAAGGATATATATTATTCCACAGGAACGTTATTCTTAAACTGTATCAGAGCTGAATTGATCCCTGTAAATGTGTTTGAAAGATAAAAGAAATTAGCAGACCCAATATATAACTACATCATGCAGCTGTTTTGTCCTTCTAAGACTCATAAGCGATCCGAAGTATCTTTCAAATTTCGGCCGTGGCTTTAGGAAAGTCAACATTTATCGGGATGTCACCTGTCTCATAATTTCATTAATTTTACAAAACAACTTGTATATGTGATATGAATGCTTATAAAAGAGAAGAAAAGACTAAAACAATTAACACTCTATCACCTTTTATCTATATGTTTTGTATGATATTTGTCAATCATTAGTCTGGCTGTCGACAAATATTTGATCAGCCATTACAACACAAACATCAAGGTCAGTTCAACCAGCCCATGTTGACTAGTTCAAGGTTCAACAACTGATAAAAGATAATCTGACCCTGAATACATAATAATAAGAATTTCTAAAAATATTAAATCTTCAACTTACTCTTTAATATACATAATTTTCAAAACGGGATGTTTCTATGAATAAAGCTTCTGACAAGAATTCGTCTCAAGTAGTTTTTTTTTATTGAAGTTCACATTCCCACTGTACATGTTCCATTGTTTCAAACTTAATTTAACATGAACAGAAGAATAGTATTTTCCTTATAATCCCAAATCTCATTTTAGTAGACGAAGATGAACACCTTATGCTGTCACTTCATTTACTCCACACAACCTTCATTGTAGATCTGTTTTTATTGTTACTTATCCACATGAACCTAGTCATCCGTATCAAATCCCTAATTACAACCATTTCCCTATTTCCTTAACAGATAAACGTTTAGAAACGAGGGGAAATAAGTAAGACCATTTATAACTAGCGCGTCATACTGGTGACCTGTAAACAATCACACATTTATTGTAACAAAATACGTTTATACATAAGAATTGTAATAGTGTTACATTTTACAGATGGAATCTTGTCCACCTCAAAACAATTTTAACGTTATCTTCATCATCAGATACAAAAAGTTTCACTAATCAAGCGCCACCATTAGGGAGTTCTTGAAGTCGCCTCTAAGGTAAACAAAACCATATACCTAAATAGATCATTTAAATTTGTTGTCAACATTCACTTTTATTGTGCTGTTTACTTTCTTTACTTAGATTTACTTAGTAGATTCTGAAAGCAGGCCATTAGTCTTTTATCTTGTATGTAGTCATTTCTGTTATGCTTGTGTTGTTATTGATGTTTGTTTAATATATGAATAATTGATATTCATTAAATAAGCATTATAATTTAAAATGTAAATATCAATTACAACATAATAAATGTGAAGAATATTGACGATAGGTCTAAATTATCATTTAAGAGACAGAAATGTTCGGTCAGCTACAAAGGATGAGGCTCTGCCTTTTTCTTTATTATCATCACGTGTTGTATTCTCTCTCTGCAAGTACAATGTCTATTGTACATACTGAATGTGATTAGTAATAAATATAAGACTCCATTAATTATCACACCCTTACCTTCACAAGTAAAGGTAGTATTAGCACCAAGTCTGAAAAATAAAGTCACTTCATATTTTGACCACAAACTCATTTCTTTTTTAAAGCAAAGATGATAGATAGTTCTCTCTGCAATCTCTGTAACTCTGAAATGGAAACTCTTGTACATTTATTTTGAAGATTTTTTGTCAATTTTTATAGTCGAGATATGTTGTCAAAGACTTTATTAATAAATTTTCTGTTCTTCAAAATCTGTTTCACGGGAAGAGCTATCACTTGCCATGAGCTGAGTATCATCCAGGGTGATGACCTCACGGACTGGCTCCGCTGGCCTTACATTCTGGAACCTGGGACGCCTCTTTGGACACGGAGGATGAATAAGAGCATGGTCGTCACTGCTGTCGGAATCAGCAGATGATGAATTCTCATTCTCGGCTAGAGCTGGAACGGAGGGTCTTGCTCTGGCAAGAACTACCTCCTCAGGAACGTCTACAGGCATAGAATTAAAGGGCAACAGCATGTTTTGCCCTATTCAAGTTTCACCTGGTATATTGGAATATCACTATCTGGTATCTTCAAAACCAGTTAAGTATCCTGTTCCCATTTGTCAGCTAATTTGTTCTTTCCCGGGAGATCGACATTTCTAACCAGTTCACGGTCACCAACATTGAGCCGAGATTCCCGTATGGACCAATCATACCGGTCTTTGTTGCGGGCAGCATTCTTGGATGCTTCTGCTCGAGCAGCTTTATAGGCATATTCCATCCTATCTTTGAGCTTGCCGACACATGAAGTTGGTTCTGTTGCTCCCTCACTCCTTGGTTCTGTACCAAAGAATGCGTTAACTGACAGGCGGGGTGCCACCCAAACATTAAGTAGTGGGGTGAATATCCGGTGGAGTCATTCTTTGTGGCATTGTAGGCCTGCACCAGAGGCACTACGTAAGATTTCCAGTCAGCTATCTGGTCATGCTCTAGGGTACCGAGCATTGCTAACAAAGTTCTGTAGAACCTTTCAACTTGACCGTTTCTCATTGGATGGTATGGTGTGGTTCGGGACTTCGAGACTCCTGCAAGCTTACAGAGCTCTTTGATTACTTTGCTTCCAAAGTTACGTCCCTGATCACTATGTAAACACTCAGGAAAGCTGTAGAAGGCGATGAAGTTTTCATATAGCGCCTTAGCTTTCACATGTGCCTTCTGACTTCGGCACGGCACTGCCTGGGCATACCTAGTGAAATTACTAGTAATGACCAAGTTGTTTTCAAACCCACCTTTTGACCGCTCAAGACTGAGGAAATCAGAACAAACAATTTCTAATGGTCTAGAACTTTGAATGGGAACCAGTTTAGTTTTGACTGGAGTCTTGCGTCTCTGATAACGGCCTCAGGTTTCAACTCTCTCGTTTACATCTTTCTCCACGCTCGGCCAGTAAAACCGCTGTCTAGCCAAGCAAAGTGTCTTTTCCTTTCCTTGGTGACCAACATCATCATGGACACCCTTTAGGACTAAGGAATAGTATCCCTAAGGCACAACAAGCTGGTTTATTGTCTGACCGTCCAGAGAAACGGTTCGATGAAGTACACCATTAAGTTAATGAAATTTTTTCCAAGATCTTAGAAACGGAAGCAGCCGAAAGGTCCCGATTTGGCGTAAACCTGTCCTGTTGCCTAACAACATCCAAATTGCAAGATGTGGATGTTCTTTCATAACTGTTTGAAATTAATTATGACCAAGTATTTGGATGTTTAGAAATTTCAAAACATCAAACACTTATAAGACACATTGATGAGGTAACTATTAGTGATGATTTTTCCAAGAAAAAAGGCAGTTTATGCAATATTGGTGAATTTAATGAGAATTTTTCATGACAAATTCTTTTAAATATATAAATTGATATTGATTTCTGATTTTCTGAAATAGAATGTATAACAGAATAGTCTCGGCAGTGTTTACAACTTTACCCTCTTTTTTTTCTACCAAGACAAGTCAGCATTGCTTAACACACTAAAGGTTCTAAAGATTTTTATGGTTTGTTAATTAACAGAACGAAATCTCTCAATAGCAAAGAGAAAAGAAAACGGTGGTTGAAAATATTCTGATTTTAATAATGAAAACTAGTTATCCGACTAAAACTATGTTATCTTTCTTCATATTTTGACCACAAACTCATTTCTTTTTTAAAGCAAAGATGATAGATAGTTCTCTCTGCAATCTCTGTAACTCTGAAATGGAAACTCTTGTACATTTATTTTGAAGATTTTTTGTCAATTTTTATAGTCGAGATATGTTGTCAAAGACTTTATTAATAAATTTTCTGTTCCCTTGAAATAGATGACCCTCATCACAAATTTCAGTTTTTCTTGCCCAATGCTCAGAAACCATTCAAGGTAATTGCTCAAAACTTTTCACATTAAGCTAGTAGTATCTTTTGCTATGGGGAAGTTTACAATTTAAATTCTTTTATCTGTTACCATGGAAATAGATAGGCCAAATAAAACAGTTAAGCAAGGAAACCCGTATCCCTTTAGAGATATTAAACCCTGGACGACTAGTTGAAAGACAAATGTGTTACAACTGCGCCACCAAACCACCGCCTGATCATGATGATGCATTGTTTTCTAGAAGAAAGAATAATAATAATAATAATAATAATAATAATAATAATAAGAAGATGATGATGATGATGATGATGCTGAAGAAGAAGAAGAAGAAGAACATGATGATGATGATGATGATGATGATGATGATGATGATGATGATGATGATGAAGAAGAAGAAGAAGAAGAAGAAGAAGAAGAAGAAGAAGAAGAAGAAGAAGAACATGATGATGATGATGATGATGATGATGATGATGATGATGATGATGATGCTGAAGAAGAAGAAGAAGAAGAAGAAGAAGAAGAAGAAGAAGAAGAAGATGATGATGATGCTGAAGAAGAAGAAGAAGAAGAAGATGATGATGATGATGATGATGATGATGATGATGATGATGATGATGATGATGAAGAAGAAGAAGAAGAAGAAGAAGAAGAAGAAGAAGATGTTGATGATGATGATGATGATGATGATGATGATGATGATGATGATGATGATGATGATGATGATGATGATGCATCGGTACATGTGTGTGTGCCGATGGTCTGTTAAACTCTTCCGAAATATAAAATAAATTTTAAAGATCCGCTTCAGTGCAGACATGGATCAGGCAGTTCAAAATATGCACCTTGTTGACCAACTTGCGCTTTTTTCAGGCAGTGTCTATTTCATATTAATATTGTCTTTTTTAGTCATCATTTTTTTTTTTAATTCGGCCTTTACGGATCCGTATCCGCTCTCCGGTTCTAATATTCCACACTCCACTCTTGATGACGTAATGGGCACTTCCTGTTTATTAGCATATCGAAAATAGCTCATGTCTAACATGCAGCGTGGTGGTGGTGAAGGTGCTTCGGGTTACTCGGGAGGCGCCCACCCAACGAGTGGGGGACATTCATCATATCGCTACGAAGACCTAGAATTCCCTTACTGTGAAGATTCTGGCAAATATGAAAAGCTCGCAAAGATCGGGCAGGGGACTTTCGGGTAAGGTCTAGCGCGCTACGATAAAGATGCAACCAAAACACGTATTGGTGTATCCGTATATTAGACTTATTTCTAAACTTTTGGAGTCACTTAATGATTTCTAATGTCTGCATCTGTATGACTACAACAACTAACTGACTTTTAAAAAAGTCGAATTTGCACCCCCCCCCCCACCCCGTTCCAACTCCGTTTACGCTGACCAGTACCATTATCCTTATTTGTATTATCGATCGCCTTGGGATAAAGACGACATATTTATATCGTGACAAAGATTATCATTATAAATGATAGGAAGGGGATATCATCAAATGATGGATGAAATTTGTTAATCATAGGATTGACATTGAATAGAATTGATTCACTTTGTGATGGTGGGTTTCTTTTGTCAGGCTGTTTGTTGGCATTACTGTATCTACAAAGGAATACTTTTTTTATCAGTGATGTGCATTTTCTTGATGTATGATGAATATCTTTGTTGGTGTGTTCAGTTAGATCAGAGACCTGAATATGATAAAAGGTTGCTCCAGTTTCCCTATTTAAGTCCACATTAAAGTGTTATAATGCAGGAACATGAAAGAGGAATGGCTGATTGCTAGAGAAGAATTATTTTCCATTACATTGCCAACCTATCTGGTCAGAGGGAAACTTATCCTGTTCTTCTAGTCAGTTCACAATTCAACAGTACTTGTCTGTTTCAGTTGGAATGCAAGCTCCAAGAAATCTGACCAGACATTGAATTTTGAATCTTGGGATTATGGTTGAATTGATAAAAAAGAAAGATGCACTAAAATTACAGTTTGCCCTCCCAACTGTGATAGATAACTTCTTACAAGTAGATTCTGGTCACGATAATTCAACTTTGTCAATTTCATAATCATCATTTAGATTAACTGCATGCATGTGATGGGAATTATAGTTTTATATGTATTTTGCAAGTGTACAATTTATACATTCCACCTATTTTTCATTTTCTTCAATGAAAAAATTCTAGTTGCAACATCATTATTGTTTAATTTATTCTTTATTTTTACAGAGAAGTATTTAAGGCCAGAGACAGAAAAACCAAACGGTTGGTGGCAATGAAAAAAGTGTTGATGGAAAATGAAAAAGAAGGGGTAAGAACAAAGAAAGACATTAACTGTCATAAAAACTTCATGGAAATCTGTTACCTCGTGTCAGGTTTATATAGTATAGCTGTTTCAGGATTATCTGTGGGACAATCTAAGGTAGGGGGATTGAGCTATGTTCATCTCTTTTAAGGATGTATATTGATACAATGTATTTTATAATACATTCCTCATTGGCAAATTATAAATACTCCATGAGGGATTATTGCTCTTGTGGTGAAAAAAGTTGTGTTATAAAGTAGAATATTCATTACTTCATTTATTGATAAATAATCATTTTCAAAATTTCTGGGTTAAAGATCATTTATGGTGTGAATATATAATAATTGATGATTGAACCCCCGAGAAATTTGACTGTGACATGATATTGACAAATCTTTTAATGCATACATTATGTAACTATTGTATTATCACTCTAAAGCTTTCAGCATTATGAAGCAAAGTAAGTTGGAACATTTAGGCATAAGTGTGTCCCTTTCTCCTTTATATATATCCAATCTGTAACGTTTATATTGCAGTTCCCAATCACAGCTTTGAGGGAGATCAAGATCCTGCAGTTGTTAAGACATGAAAATGTTGTAGATCTTATAGAGATCTGTCGTACAAAAGGTCAGAATCTTCTTAAAACAGCATAATAATTTTGTTGCAGTATACCAGAATTATATCTGACTCTGAATCAGAAACAATATCTTGAGAAGGCTCATTATAAAGTAGAATCCAAAGAGTAAAACAAATTTATCTTTTCAATGAACCTCAGTTATTCTTTGTTTTCATGCTTAATGCTTTTGTAGTATTTTTCAAAAGTAAAAGATATCTACAGATATTGGTCCCGAAACTGATTATAAATCAATCTGATCAATTTTATTCCTATTTCATAGACTTCTGAGCAATTGTGATCAGTATCAAAACAGAATATATTATTTTATGGATGTTTGGCCCTGTTACTGTTTTGCTGCGTATTTCTTCTATGCTTTGTTCTTTTGCAGCCTCTCAATACAACCGATTTAAAAGCACCTTTTTCCTCATCTTTGAGTTTTGTGAGCACGACCTGGCTGGACTTTTAATCAATGCTAATGTGAAGTTTAATCTTGGAGAAATCAAGAAGGTTATGCAGCAATTGTTAAATGGCCTATACTTTATACATAGTAATAAGATCCTTCATCGTGACATGAAGGCTGCCAACATCCTTATCACCAAACATGGTGTCCTAAAGTTGGCAGACTTTGGACTGGCACGGGCCTTTAGTGTTCAGAAAGCAGGCCAGCCTAATAAATACACCAATCGAGTTGTGACATTGTGGTACCGCCCTCCAGAGTTACTCCTAGGTGAGAGGAACTATGGACCACCCATTGATATGTGGGGTGGTGGCTGTATCATGGCAGAAATGTGGACACGGACACCCATTATGCAGGGTAAGACAGAACAGAACCAACTCCAACTCATCAGCCAGTTGTGTGGGTCTATTACCAAAGACGTATGGCCTACTGTTGATAAACTTGATCTCTATGCCCAACTTGAACTTCCTCAAGGTCAGAAGCGCAAGGTTAAGGAGAGGTTAAAAGCTTATGTCAAAGATCAGTATGCTCTTGATCTTCTGGATAAACTGATGACCCTTGACCCTTCAAAGCGACTGGATAGTGACAGTGCATTGAACCATGATTTTTTCTGGACAGATCCAATGCCTAGTGACTTGTCTGAAATGTTATCTCAACATAAGACATCAATGTTCGAGTTTCTGGCGCCACCACGACGACCAGGTCAGCGACCAATGCCACACGGTCAGAATCAGAACATCCAGCGACCATTACATAATCTCGACTTCCATGTGGAACGAGTGTATTAGCATATGATTTACATGTGAGGATGTTTTGATTATGTATAAATGACAAACTTATGATGACTGATCTTGAATGGATATACAACCAAATCAAAGTATTATCAAAAAGGTAATCTGATAATTTTTAACTGTACCATCTTTATGTTGATTTCACTTTTTTATATACATATTTTACTTAAGATTTTTCTTTTAAATGGTCATTTACCTTTGAAACCCATTTTATCAATAAAATAAAATTAAGTTGTGATCGTTTTTTTTTTTTTTTAATTTATTTAATTTGCGATGCAGGGTTCATCCTTCCAGTGTAACATTAGTGTGATCTAGGACTAGCAGATGATTCAGTTAAAAATAATTAAATCCTAGCTTGTTAAATAAAAGCTACCCGGTATATACCAACATTTTGGTATTAAAAGGTCTAGTATTATTGTATGTTTTTAAAGACTCGGAATGACTTCGGGAGAACAATGACAATTGCAATCTTTCAATGTTTTTGTCCATGTCGTCAATACAAGTTATTTACAGTGTAATTAAAATTTTCTGCAGAAATCAACCCATCAGATTTTATCTATACATTTGTTTATTTTTGCTTATTTAGTAGAAACAAACCCCAATGGTACAATTTCCTGGATTGTACAAATTGTAATTGGTCAATGTTACTGAATATACTACTGGCAGTACTCTATGTAATAAACTTTGTAACTGTTTTTAGTTTGACCAGCATTGACAAGTTGATCTGTCAAGAATATGAATATTTTTAATGTTATAATTTGTTGCCAATCTGTGACCAATTCTATTGGGATATTGTAAAACTTTTACAATTTTTAATTTTGACATTATTTTTAGATGTGAGAGCTTTGTGTTACAATCAACAGCTTTGTTGACTTTGCAACTTTTATCATTTTTGGTTCAAAATATTTTCATTTACCACATTAGGAATTAAACTTAGAATTCTTAATGTTCGTTTAATGAACATTTGCACGATTAACATTTCATGAAATTGGTTTAAGTAGTATCTGAACAGACAGTATGAGAGATAAAGCTGATGTAACAAATGTATGGTGTTATTACAGTAAACAAAAGTTTTTGTCTAATGATTATATACTGAACACATGTTTTCCACAATATTCACTAGTTAATGCTTATATCAAATTTGGTATTAACTAAAGTCATGGTTTTTCCCAGAAAAAAGATTATATTTGTTATGTACAACATTTTGAAATAAAATGTTTCAGATGTTTTAAGTTTCCTGTGTGTTTTATGAGAGATAATGTTGTGGAATTTATAAGCAGATTGAGTAGAAGTATAAAAACAAAAAAAAACAACAAGAAACCCATGGGCCATAATGGTCATCTGAGGTCTTCAGGTCTTTGGACAGTTTTAGAACTTGTCCATCAGTCACAGCATTGGGGCAGACAGAACTGATATATGCATACTTACAAACTTTTTACTGTTTCTAAGTTTGAATTTTCAATTAAACGGAACTGATAACACTGTCTGTTTTTGTAGTTTAGCATATTTGATCCCTGTGACCCTGTGAATGAAAGTCAAGGTCTTTCATTTGAACAAACATGGTAGCCCTTCATCCCAGTATGCTTCTGACCCAATGCTATGACACTGGGCCTTTCAGTTATTGACGGATCAACATATGATGCACAACACCAGACAAAAAAGCAATCAAAATAGGTCATCCGAGATGGTATTTATCACCATCTCATATCTCTGGAAAATATTTAGTCTTCCATCAAGTAGACTAAATGCATGATATTATGATCCTAGACAGATCTGGCATCATGCAAGATTTTCAGAAAATTCATTTTTACATTGTATGTTTTTGAAAATTTGTCAAAGTCATTAAATCCAACAGACAGAATACTGCACTAAATTTGTTTTCAGAGTGAATCAAATATTATTTCATAATTATCATTACTGTAACAATTTGAAGATTTATTGGTCCTCTACATCACTGAAAACAAAGACGTGAATAGTGCTATTAAAGTATTTAAACAAAAACTCAAAACAAGAAGTTTACAAAATTTAATGTTTTTTTTAGGTTTTAAAAGCTAAATTTTGATGAAATGAAAAAAGATAACTAAGACTTGGCTAAGGATATTGAACAACACTTTATTGATGTTTCAACTTCCATTACAGAGATTTTTGTTTTCTTGAAATCTGGTTTAAGTGACTTTTTGCACATTAGGAGCAGAAGAAAATTGAGCAATTATTTTGATACATGAAAAGTTCTGTGACATAGAAATAACTAGTAAAACTATACTACATTATATTGTGTATATTTTACACCATGGATTAATGCCGTCCTGCTGTTCCTGTTCACTCAAATTCTGAGAACCCACTTTATTTCTTTGTAAATGGAGTCATCAGAATTTTAGAAATGGTGCATTGGACTCTCCTGGAAAAAAATTCTACATAAATTGGTTACATGAAATGTAATGCCAATCTAGTACCTTAATCTGGAAATTTCTTGTCAGATAGATGTCTGATATACATACATGAACCATTCTGTATGGTTTCCTGGATTATCAGTAAATGTACCCTGGTCTTGTTTCAAATGTTATTAAAGTCATTCATTTATTTGTAGAGTTCAGTATCCCTGTTGCTTGAAAAATGACTATTGTTAAGATACCAGTGTATACTGATAAAAATACAACTTAAGTTTACCTGTTCGTTTTAATTACATCCTTGTCTAATACATGTAACAAAAAGAAAATAAAAGAACATGTCATTGTATTTTATCATTTTGTACTAACTCAGTCTACTGGTACACTTTGAACACAGAAAACAGGTACCTACTGAATATACAAATACACATTCCACTTTTTAAAAATGTCTTTCCAACATAAGTATCGCAGAGTAAAAAAAAAAACAAGAGGCCCATGGGCCTTAATGGTCGCCTAACTACACAAACTTTCAGCAGGGAGAAGGGTTATTTTTCTAAACATGTTTTTTCAAGATCGCGGCCATGGCCGCCATCTTGGATTTCAGATATACCCAAAATAATACCAACACTTGGTCAGGACCATCTCAGGATCATTTTATGCAAGTTTGAGCACAATTCCACTAATGGAACTTGAGAAGTTTGAAATAGGTGTTGCACAGGAAAACCATAATTGCGCAATCATGTTACGAAATAGCCTCCCTGGCTGGCATATCAAAGTTTTGACAAGGTTGAGAAAGAATAACACTTTGTTGACTACCTTTAGATTGCAGCCATAGGGGCCACCTTAGATTTCAGACATGCTTGAAAAATAACAACACTCGGTCAAGACCATCTCAGGATGGTGCATGACGGACGAAGCATGATGGCTATAAGTTATCATGACCATTCCGGTCAGATGACCTAAAAAACAAAAAAAACAAAAACAAAAAATGTTCTTGTAAATATCTATAAAATCAACAAAACAACAAAAAACTTCAAAGATAAGAAAACTTGTTGTACCATTGATAATGTATTCTTTTTTGAGAAATAAATCTAACAAGGGCTATCAGAGATGGGTTATGCTCCCTGACTGGGACAAAATTTAAGCATGAAAAATAACAAAGGGCATTAAGAGAGTTATGGTTCTTGTGCTTTGCCCTCCTACTGATTGAGATCGATCTACTTTAATGTCAATACCTCTTATTGTTTGAGCATAAAAATTAAACCGAACATCAATGAAAATGGACTTAATATTGAATTACTAACACAAATTTGGCACAGATAAATTATTTGTAAACATTACAAAATCTGTGATTTTCTTAATCTACATTCATTACACAACCAGACAATATATCAGTCTAACATCAAGTCAAAAGAAATACATTATAAAACTTCTAAAAATCTGGAAAAAAAATCACATCTGGATTATTAAACAGTGTAACCTGTTGAAATGAGACATACATGTCTGGTAACTAACATAAAATGATGTCGATCAAGTCATTCATGACATTAATTATATAATTAAAATGGAAAATTAATCAGAAGAATCTAAATAAGGGAAGTCCTTTATATTACAGTGAAATCTGAAAGTGTGATATCATAAAATCTGTATTAACTGTTAACTTTGATTTGTTTTGGTTCCAGTTTCATTTCTATAACAAATGTACTGCTAAACTTTTCCCAACCTTGAATAAATTATGATGATTTTCTTGCCATCTGAAACTTCTCCCTGATCTTGAAAAACTAAAAAAAGACACAACACTTTCAAATTGTATTTTTTGAATGAAACCAACAGTATATATTTTACAATGAAATAAACTTTATGGGATTGTAAATCGCACTGTGGAAGTGGAAAATAATAATTTTAAACAAAAACAAATACATATCCTAAAACAACAGCAGCTGTACCTATACCTTGTACAATTATTATATCTTACAGTGTCCTATCAGATGTTAAGCTAATGATTAAAAACCCAGTAAAAATTAACTGTAAAATCAATAATTTTCCTGGGGGATTTATTTTCAATAAATATGTGGGTACCCTAAATCAACAAATCTGACAAAAATAAAAGTAAAAAGCTGACCTGGATTATAGTACAAGCAGTTTTATGAGCAAGATTTAACCCCAAATCAAGTAGCAACAAAACGATAAATATGTTTTTTTTGAAATCATAAAATTTTACTTCTCTGAAAAAATATATATATATAGAGTAACTGAAGAGTTATTGCAAAACTATCTAAAATTTGCATTTAAATTTAAGGGGTTACATACAAAAAAATAAAAATGTGTTTTCTAAAGTGGTTTTACTGAAAAAATTCCCCACAGCATAAATATTTTTGTGTTATGGGTCCATACTGAGAAAATAAAATGTATATACATAAAGATAGCCGAGACACAGCTTAAAAATGTTAGCGATAATCAAGTTTATTTGCCTTGTTGGCCTTTTATGTTTACATATTTAAACGATACACAATGTTCTAATCTAATTGAACTATATATATATAAATAAATGGGTTCCTTTCCTTGAAAAGCTATTATGCAGATCTAGAAGCCATTTCATGAAATGATAGTTTATAAAATATTCCATTCAATATTCATCAATATTTCACAGACATAAATTACATATCGGATAAAACAACAAATTTAATGCTTCTGTTAATTCCAGTCTAGGGTATTATGTAAAAACTAACACTATATATAGCTATGGTATAAATCAAATGGCCGTCACACTACATGATTAACTGTTGACAGTTTTACATCAGAGTCTGAAGGCATAAAGGCCTCTGTATTTGTGTATAGAAAAAGATTGTCTTATATAATAGGTATTAGCAGGTAAACACAAAATTAAATATCAACAATCATTGATTACAATAAAAAACAAAGATCAGCACCCAACATTCTGAACTAAAGGTTATAATTTAACACTAACTTACCATCCTTTTTTGTTACCACAGCAGTCTGGAACACAAACTCAAATAATCTGTATTATACGTCCCTGTTCAAACACAGTGAAAACTGATTTTACTCATAATCATACAAGCTTAAGTGAAATGTGTCACTAAATACAAGTATATCAATTTTTGTAGTTTTCAGAAGAAATGGAAATAATTTCTGAAAGTTTTCAAACCTACTTCTCACAACATTTATAGTATATAACAAAACTATATGATATATAGGTATTTAATACGGAAATAAAATTTAGGAATAACAATAAATATCACAGAATTGTTTTCCGAGAAAAATCACAATAATTCCAAATCACAATAATTGGAAAATCACATAAATCACACAAAAGATATCTACTAAACACAACATCTTAATGACCAAATCCTTTCAGAATTTTACAGTTTTTCTATAGATTCATTTCCATGTATAGACAGCCTACTGGCTTCCTTTTCTGATTCTATGGATTTGATCTCTGATGTTAATACCTGTAACTGTATGTGATGGATTTTTAGGATGTAACCTTGACGTCATAATACTAAAGTATTGTATTATATGTAAAGGTCATATGCAAAAATTTATATGGGTATATTCACATAATAACAGAGCAATCACATGACAAAGTAATTATAAAGCTCCTTATCACAGAATATTATACATTTTATTCATATCACAAAATTCCTATCACATGGTTACAGAAGAAACAAGACAATTCAGCAAATTAGTTATTCGCCAACACATGCCTCACCAAGGTGAACCTGTACACCAGGTATGAGGTTCCTATGACTAGTGGTACAGGAAATAAAGCACTGACATAGTTTTTTCTACAAGATACGTCAAAGATCAAAGTGAAGGTCAAAGTGACCTATTTTTGATACATGCCGCCTCGTCAAATGAAACCACATCCCAAGTATCAAACTTCAGTGACTAGTAGTTTGGGAGATGGAGTCCAGACAAAAATTTTTCTTGATGTAGGTCAAAGATGAAAATGTAAGTAAAAGTGACCTATTTTTGATACAAAACATGTCGCCTCCTCAAATGAAACCACATCCCAAGTATCAAACTTCAGTGACTAGCAGTTTAGGAGATGGAATCCAGACAATTTTTTTTTCAATTTCAAAATGTCAAAATTTCAGTCAATGTGCCTACTTTTGATGACAAACCACCTGACCAAGGTGAACTCACCCAAGTATGAAACTCCAGTAATAACTCAGGATAGAGATCCCAGACAAGATACTAGAAATATGGGCTTAATTGATAAAACTTAATATCACATCTACATTTCTAAGAATTTTTGTAACATTAAGCAGCAAGCATTATGCTTTAGTAACACCCAGTGATAAAGTTTGATGGTCCCAAGTAATAAAGTAAGATATCAAGAAAAGATCATGATACAATCTGTATGATAGATATCTTATAATGGAACTACTTAAGTTAAAATGTTTCAATCGTCAAAGCATACTCTCCAAATTTTTGGGAGAACATTCCTGTCCATCAGAGTCTGAATCCAAATAGGAAGAATAAAAAAATAAGTATTCAATAAGATTTGAAGCTGCATGCTGAATTCAATAATGATTTTTTTTTACACAAGCATGTATTAATACCAAGTCAATTACATTTAAGTACATCTGTATCAAAGCTTTCACATGGAGAAAGAAGGCTAAATGTAATGAAACACATAAAGTATGTTTGTATATATAGAGCGGAAATTCACACCTCTGATTGACGCAGAAATACGATTGGACAAATCACTTGATTATAAGGAAGAATCAACTTGTGTTAATTGATTTAATTAATTAATTGGAATGTGGATATTATGTACAATAATAAAAAAATTAAGGCAGAATTAAATCAGCATTTCTTAAAGTGATCCATTTTACTTTTTAAGCCATTTATTATAACTACAGAAAGAAATCATTTATAAACACTATATAAAAAACATTTGGATTGAAAGAATTAACAGAATTCAACAAAAGTATTCTATGGAGTACGTGTGTTTTGAACAAATATCTAGTAGAAAGTATCTTTAATATTAAGAATAATTTTAGATTAGAAAATAGCACATGCTTAAAATCATTCACTACCATCAAAAAATGAGACATTGAAAATTGGAATAAGTTCTACACTAAATACTAAAGGATCTGCTAATTGACTAGAAATCTCCATGTCATGTGTATTTGGGTCTAATGTCTCTCCAGCAAGTCCATGACCTTCAGCATTTAATGATGTCATTGAACCTTCATTCAATGACATCACTGACCCCTGACCTTCTATATTCACTGACATTTCTTTAACATCCAGTGTCTGCCCACATGCTTGTTGACCAGTAGGCAGCGTTTCACTTGAACCCAGATCCTCTTCAGAATCTACAAAGAAACTTTGCCCAGGCAGACACACCCTGTCATGCTCACCATTCCCTGCTACATCACTGATACCTAAGTTTAAATGAGATTCATATTTATCCTGAACATCTGAGCTATCATAGTTACTTCCCTTTGGAGAATTCTCACAATGGTTTCCGTCAGCACAAGGCATATGGTCTGAATTTTCCTGTTGATCCGCTGTCACTCCTGAAATGCTGCTTGAAGTTTTACTTTCCATACGTGATTTGACTTTCCCTTGTTTGCTCTGAGCCACTATGGTTCTGTTACTTCCAGGTTTATTTCGACTTTGTACTGAAGACTTACCAATTACTTTGTCCGTCCTGCCATCTGACTTTGTACCTGTACTAGAACCGGACAGCTTACGTGTTCTGTCACTTGTTAGTATAGGTCGGGCTTTCAAGGTAGTCTTCAGTTCTTTAACCTCAGGTTTTTTCTGTTCAGGAGAATCATTTTTTTGTCATTCTTTTAACAAATATAGATAAATACATCACAAATTATCATTTATAATTCTTCATTCTAAAACATTCAACATAATAAACTACTCTACTTTACCATAGGAATTGTTCTAAAACATCATCAATCATTTTTTCTTCTTCAATTAAAATTTTTTGTGTACACATGAAGATAAACTATTGATAATTAGCGTTCATAAATAATTGATGTGAATAATTTCATAAGTGTACATATAAATCATTTTAGATCTTTTAACATTCTAGAATTCACTGAAAACATTTTAAAATGATTGTTACTTTTTGCATCCTCATAAACCTTGGCCCCATTTTCTTTTCCTTGATTGACATATCTATCACTACAAAGCTGGAATCTGAAAGTACAATACAAATGTATATGACAAATACAGTGATATGAAAAAGAAAAACCCTTCATTATTGTACCCAAATGAACAAGAGTACCACAAAGCGGAACAAAATATGCCTGTGAATATCAAAAACAGTAAAGGGGCATAACTCTTATTCAAATCGTCTGATCAAAACCCCGTTCAGGAAAACAAAATTTCATATCATGGTGATTAAACCTACCAAGTTTCATAAAGATCGGCTGAAAAATGTCGGAGGAGATCTCCAGACAAATAAAAGTTTACGACGGACGCTGGACGGACAGCGCCATACCATAATATGTCCGTCTTTCGGCGTATAAAAGCTGCATAGAAGATCTGCTCAAATATACACATGTATTTCAGAGAGTTTGCAGTGACATCAAATGTAACATCATGATCTGATGATTTATATACTAAGTGTTTAAAAATGTTGGTTTGATTTTACAGAATTATTTTAGATTTTTAGACAGAAAGATCTCTCACTTTTCATAAGATGTGTTTGCAGGTCCTTGTTTAGGGAGTCCCAGTCTTCAGTCTGTGCCATCTGATGAATGTGTAGCTTCATAAAGTCCTCGCATTTCCTATATAGAGATTGGATAAAAGCACAGAATTCCTGCAACCAACAAAATGTAAAGTTTTAAGTTCACATGAAATCAACAAAAGGATTTTTGTGTGTTGGAGAATGGATTGAGAAAAGGGAGAAAGATGGAACAGAAAAAAATATACATATGAGGTAACAACAGAAGTAAGAATCACCAAACTTATGAAAGGAAATCTTAGGAAACAACTGTTTACTGAAGTATCTTAATCTTACAATATAAAAGTGAGCAAGGTATTTTCATTTCAAATCTGTCTTTTTAATTTTTCTTAAAACACTCCAGCAGAGACATAGTCATTCAGTGTCAATCTAATTGAGAGGGAGCCAAGGACTCTGGACCAGTAAGCACTGAAAATAAACCCTTCATTGTTTTATTTCTTTTTAGTTTACATCAGATGGCCCACTTTATTTTACACAATAACTGAAAATTGCCAAAAATGACCTGTTGCTCTCAGCATCAGGATTCCCCCCTCTATCATTCTACAACAAATTTACATGTATCATATACCTCACTCCACACTGATTCCATTTCCTCCGAAGTTGATGCTTTGTTCAGGGCGTGGAGACGTTCAAACACTTGGCAGGCTCCAGACACAGGTAAAGACTTGATTATTGTTCCAAAAATTTCTTCTAGTAGTCCCATCTGGTATGCCAGGGTCTAAAGAACGAACAACAGAAATCCTTTAACAATATAAAATACATACCATATGGCCCGTTATTTTCATTGTGATGGTTTCTTCACTATTTTACGAAACGTTAAAGTGAACACGAAAACTTAGTCTGAGAAGTAAGAGACATGTGCATATTAGGTGTACTTTTACATCCAGACAGCAAAAATTTAATTCATTGAAATATAATTGATAATTAATAGATTGTTTTAAAAGAAAATTGGTGAAAAATTTTGACATGTGAAAATTAAGAGCTGTATGATATCTAAAATCAATTCTGAATCAAAATTGATAAAAGTTGTCAGTATTATTCCTTAACAGTTCACAGAAGTCATGATACCGCTATATTGTTAGCAGTCTCTATGACAGCAGGGCCCCACACAAGATTAATATAACTGAGTTCCTGAAATTAACATTACTGTATCAATGTCTCGGAATTTTCCACTGTTCAGGAGACTGATGAAATTTTTCGCTGTGTATTCGATGGAGCTATCCATGAGTCTGGTGACAGCTGACAGGACAGGCTCACACCACTTGAGCCGAGGAATGTTACGATTTAGTTTCTGACAATCCAGCATCACTTCCATCACACACCGTATATTCTGAAATATCAAAAACAGAAGAAATGTTTATCATATTAAACACAAGGAAATAAACATCCATAAATAATGGCATGTCATCAGCAACAGACAGACGAGTAAACTGGCTTGTATTTGATCTTTGACCTTAGAAAATTTATCAAGCTTCATCTCATGTACATATTTCAGTATAACACTCATTAAAATTGTATTTTTCTTTCACGAAAATTAAGTTATAATCAGAGAAGAACATTGAATAGACAGAGAACTAAATTATAAAAAGGATTGATTTCCTGGTTCACAACAACTGCATTGAGTTTGGTGGTAAGATCTTCCAACAGACTATTGGAATACCTATGGATACTACCTGTCCCACTGTTGGCTGACTTGTTTTTTATTTCAAATAATACTGAATTTATTGAAGAGCTTATTAAAACAGGTCACAATGCCTTTTTAAAGATGTTTAATTTCACTTTCAGATATACTGATGATGTCATGTGTTTAATTTACAAGAGATTTATTGACTACATCAACTATGGTAACATAATTGCTGAGGAAAAAGTTGATACTGGACAGATGCAGCACCTGTCAAACCAGATGAGCTAATAAAACTCCCTGTAATATAGACATAAGCCAATAGTTGTAAAAATGACTTCTGTACCTCGTACAGGAACATACCAGATGGTGGATAGCAGAGTTGCAGACTATATCCATGATGTCAGGAGGAAGTGAGGCAAAGGCTTTTGTCCTCCACACCTTCACCATATTGTTGTTGATCCAATCGATACACTTGTCTCGCAATTCACAAAGATTAAAGGTCAGCGCTGAGGCCAGTGTTTCAACAACTCCTGTCTCACAGCCACTACATGGCTAAAGAGGCAATACAAATAAAAACCCAGGTCATATACAGGACAGATAAGAATGTAATACACACTAATGTATCAGACTGTCAGACAAAGTCTTTCTAAATATCCATTAACAATTAAATGATAACAGAAAGCTTTATGGATACCAATTCAATGAAATATTTCTTCAACGAAAATAACTTTATTATTATATATTATAAAATTATACCAAGGCGCTTTCGTGTAAGAAGTTGAAACGGTTGGACCAGTTGAACCTGCATGAAAGATGTTAGGTACCGATCAGGACCGAGACTGGAATGCACAATATTTGGCATGTGCAGTTTGAGGGGTCCAGCAGTTCCTGTCTGAAACTAACTTACTGAATATCATAATTTTTCAGAATTTCTGCTTAAAAAGTAGGGTTTGCATACTCACATATTTCCAGGAGCATTGTACTAGTATGATTGAAATGGACGGTATCTCAATCTTAGTTAATTGCTTGACAAGAAATTCCCAAACCGTGCATTTTGAGTTATAGAGGAATAATACCTGACCACCTGGACCGTTTCAACTGGGTTACATGGATGCAGCCCAATACAACAAGATATTTGTTCAAGTGAGATAACTCTATTATACCACATATGACATGTTCAGATGAATTCCTAAAATTTACCTTGTGGAAGAAATGACAATAAGTTTTTTTCAGGTTGTATGTGACGATAGCATTGAGGCCATGGAGCCCATACATATCAGCTACCATTACCACCTCCCCTATTGGACAGCATGTCTCCATGTCTAATACTCCTCCATACAGGTAGAGAAGGACTTGCTCCATTACAGGTGGGCTTATCCTGTAAGTAAACATATATATAATTCCATAAATTTTAAAATTAAATCACATATACTGATACCTATATAGAGAAGATGTCAACAGTGCTCATATTAGTAAATAACATTTTCTGAGAACAAAATATCAGCATAAATATTCACTGGTATTTATCAGAGAGCTGAAAAAGTTGACAATCATAGGCCTATGATGTGATAAACACAGGCCACTGTTGTGACAATCACGGGCCTCTGTTGTGACAATCACAAGCCCCTGTTGTGACAATCACAAGCATCTGTTGGGACAATCACAGGCCTTTGTGGTGACATTCACAAACCCCAGTTGTGAACAACACAGGCCACTGTGGTGACAATCACAGGCCTCTGTTGGGACAATCACAGGCCTTTGTGGTGACAATCACAGGCCTCTGTTGTGACAATCACAAGCCCCTGTTGTGACAATCACAGGCCTTTGTGGTGACAATCACAGGCCTTTGTGGTGACAATCACAGGCCACTGTGGTGACAATCACAGGCCTCTGTTGTGAACAACACAGGCCACTGTGGTGACAATCACAGGCCTTTGTTGTGAACAACACAGGCCACTGTGGTGACAATCACAGGCCTTTGTGGTGACAATCACAGGCCTCTGTTGTGAACAACACAGGCCACTGTGGTGACAATCACAGGCCTCTCTTGTGAACAACACAGGCCACTGTGGTGACAATCACAAGCCCCTGTTGTGACAATCACAGGCCTTTGTGGTGACAATCACAGGCCTTTGTGGTGACAATCACAGGCCACTGTGGTGACAATCACAGGCCTTTGTGGTGACAATCACAGGCCTCTGTTGTGAACAACACAGGCCACTGTGGTGACAATCACAGGCCACTGTTGTGACAATCACAGGCCACTGTGGTGACAATCACAGGCCTTTGTGGTGACAATCACAGGCCTCTGTTGTGAACAACACAGGCCACTGTGGTGACAATCACAGGCCACTGTGGTGACAATCACAGGCCACTGTGGTGACAATCACAGGCCTCTGTTGTGAACAACACAGGCCACTGTGGTGACAATCACAGGCCTCTGTTGGGACAATCACAGGCCTTTGTGGTGACAATCACAGGCCTCTGTTGTGACAATCACAAGCCCCTGTTGTGACAATCACAGGCCTTTGTGGTGACAATCACAGGCCACTGTGGTGACAATCACAAGCCCCTGTTGTGACAATCACAGGCCTTTGTGGTGACAATCACAGGCCACTGTGGTGACAATTGTGGTGACAATCACAGGCCTCTGTTGTGACAATCTCAAGCCCTTGTTGTGACAATCACAGGCCTTTGTGGTGACAATCACAGGCCACTGTGGTGACAATCACAGGCTCTTCATATGAAATGAAATCTTTAGTCATTTTATTGTTATTGTTGTAATTATCTTGTAATTCAATCAATCCCATATTTTGTTTCTTCTTCTCTACCAAAGAATGGTGTCATAAAAAATATTTCAATGACAGTGTTAATCATAAATGATTGATCACATACTACGCCAATCAAACACTTTTTGCTTAACTGAGTACCAACATTAGGTAGTCAATTTTTTTTGAATTGAGTACAAACATGAGGTAGTCAGTTTATGTTGAAATGAGTACAAACATGAGGTAGTCAGTTTTTGTTTAATCGAGTACAAACATGAGGTAGTCAGTTTTTGTTTAATCGAGTACAAACATGAGGTAGTCAGTTTATGTTGAATTGAGTACCAACATGAGGTAGTCAATTTTTGTTTAATCGAGTACAAACATTAGGTAGTCAGTTTTTGTTTAATCGAGTACAAACATGAGGTAGTCAGTTTATGTTGAATTGAGTACCAACATGAGGTAGTCAATTTTTGTTTAATCGAGTACAAACATGAGGTAGTCAGTTTATGTTGAATTGAGTACCAACATTAGGTAGTCAGTTTTTGTTTAATCGAGTACAAACATGAGGTAGTCAGTTTTTGTTTAATCGAGTACAAACATGAGGTAGTCAATTTTTGTTTAATCGAGTACAAACATGAGGTAGTCAGTTTATGTTGAATTGAGTACCAACATTAGGTAGTCAGTTTTTGTTTAATCGAGTACAAACATTAGGTAGTCAGTTTTTGTTTAATCGAGTACAAACATGAGGTAGTCAGTTTATGTTGAATTGAGTACCAACATTAGGTAGTCAGTTTTTGTTTAATCGAGTACAAACATTAGGTAGTCAGTTTTTGTTTAATCGAGTACAAACATGAGGTAGTCAGTTTATGTTGAATTGAGTACCAACATTAGGTAGTCAATTTTTTTTTAATTGAGTACAAACATTAGGTAGTCAGTTTTTGTTTAATCGAGTACAAACATGAGGTAGTCAGTTTATGTTGAATTGAGTACCAACATGAGGTAGTCAATTTTTGTTGAATTGAGTACCAACATGAGGTAGTCAATTTTTGTTGAATTGAGTACCAACATGAGGTAATCAATTTTTGTTTAATCGAGTACAAACATGAGGTAGTCAGTTTTTGTTTAATCGAGTACAAACATGAGGTAGTCAGTTTATGTTGAATTGAGTACCAACATTAGGTAATCAATTTTTGTTTAATCGAGTACAAACATGAGGTAGTCAGTTTATGTTGAATTGAGTACCAACATTAGGTAGTCAGTTTATGTTGAAATGAGTACAAACATGAGGTAGTCAATTTTTGTTTAATTGAGTACAAACCCTTCAAGGTTGATTTCCTGAGCTTCACTCTCCATCCAGGATCCTCCCAGCATGGCAGAAAAGTAGTCACATCTAGCAGCTAATATACATCTGTAATACATCAATATCACATCTGTAATACACCAATATCACATCTGTAATACATCAATATCACATCTGTAATACATCAATATCACATCTGTAATACACCAATATCACATCTGTAATACACCAATATCACATCTGTAATACACCCAATGTCACATAATATCACATCTGTAATACACCCAATATCACATCTGTAATACACACAATATCACATCTGTAATACATCAATATCACATCTGTAATACATCAATATCACATCTGTAATATACACAATATCACATCTGTAATACATCAATATCACATCTGTAATACACAAATATCATATCTGTAATACACACAATATCACATCTGTAATACACCAATATCACATCTGTAATACATCAATATCACATCTGTAATACACCAATATAACATCTGTAATACACCCAATATCACATCTGCAATATACCAATATCACATCTGTAATACATCATACCACATCTGTAATATACCAATATAACATGTGTAATACACCCAATATCACATCTGTAATACATCAATATCACATCTGTAATACACCCAATATCACATCTGTAATACACCAATATCACATCTGTAATACACCAATATCACATCTGTAATACACACAATATCACATCTGTAATATACCAATATAACATGTGTAATACACCCAATATCACATCTGTAATACATCAATATCACATCTGTAATACACCCAATATCACATCTGTAATACACCCAATGTCACATCTGTAATACACACAATATCACATCTCTAATACACCAATATCATATCTGTAATACACAAATATCACATCTGTAATACACAAATATCACATCTGTAATACACCAATATCACATCTGTAATACATCATACCACATCTGTAATATACCAATATAACATCTGTAATACACCCAATATCACATCTGTAATATACCCAATAACATCTGTAATACACACAATATCATATCTGTAATACACACAATATCATATCTGTAATACACCCAATATCACATCTGTAATACATCAATATCACATCTGTAATACATCAATATCACATCTGTAATACACACAATATCACATCTGTAATACATCAATATCACATCTGTAATACACCCAATATCACATCTGTAATACACACAATATCACATCTGTAATACACACAATATCATATCTGTAATACACCCAATATCACATCTGTAATACATCAATATCACATCTGTAATACATCAATATCACATCTGTAATACACCCAATATCACATCTGTAATACATCAATATCATATCTGTAATACACAAATATCACATCTGTAATACACCAATATCATATCTGTAATACACAAATATCACATCTGTAATACATCAATATCACATCAGTAATACATCAATATCACATCTGTAATACATCAATATCACATCTGTAATACACCAATATCGCATTTGTAATACACAAATATCATATCTGTAATACACAAATATCACATCTGTAATACACCAATATAACATCTGTAATACACCCAATATCACATCTGCAATATACCAATATCACATCTGTAATACATCATACCACATCTGTAATATACCAATATAACATCTGTAATACACTCAATATCACATCTGTAATACATCAATATCACATCTGTAATACACAAATATCATATCTGTAATACACCAATATCACATCTGTAATATACCAATATCATATCTGTAATACACCCAATATCACATCTGTAATACATCAATATCATATCTGTAATACATCAATATCACATCTGTAATATACCAATATAACATGTGTAATACACCCAATATCACATCTGTAATACACCCAATATCACATCTGTAATACACCCAATATCACATCTGTAATACACCCAATGTCACATCTGTAATACACACAATATCACATCTCTAATACACCAATATCATATCTGTAATACACAAATATCACATCTGTAATACACAAATATCACATCTGTAATACACCAATATCACATCTGTAATACATCATACCACATCTGTAATATACCAATATAACATCTGTAATACACCCAATATCACATCTGTAATATACCCAATAACATCTGTAATACACACAATATCATATCTGTAATACACACAATATCATATCTGTACACCCAAATACACCCAATATCACATCTGTAATACATCAATATCACATCTGTAATACACACAATATCACATCTGTAATACATCAATATCACATCTGTAATACACCCAATATCACATCTGTAATACACACAATATCACATCTGTAATACACACAATATCACATCTGTAATACACCCAATATCACATCTGTAATACATCAATACCACATCTGTAATACATCAATATCACATCTGTAATACACCCAATATCACATCTGTAATACATCAATATCATATCTGTAATACACAAATATCACATCTGTAATACACCAATATCATATCTGTAATACACAAATATCACATCTGTAATACATCAATATCACATCTGTAATACATCAATATCACATCTGTAATACATCAATATCACATCTGTAATACACCAATATCGCATTTGTAATACACAAATATCATATCTGTAATACACAAATATCACATCTGTAATACACCCAATATCACATCTGTAATACACAAATATCACATCTGTAATACACAAATATCACATCTGTAATACACCAATATCACATCTGTAATACACCCAATATCACATCTGTAATACACACAATATCACATCTGTAATACATCCAATGTCACATCTGTAATACACAAACATCACATCTGTAATACACCAATATCACATCTGTAATACACCAATATCATATCTGTAATACACACAATATCACATCTGTAATACACCCAATATCATATCTGTAATACATCCAATATCACACACCAATATCATATCTGTAATACACAAATATCACATCTGTAATACATCAATATCACATCTGTAATACATCAATATCACATCTGTAATACATCAATATCACATCTGTAATATACATCATATGTAATGTGTAATTAACAGATACATCATGTAATATACCAATATAACATGTGTAATATACCAATATAACATGTAATATACCAATATAACATGTGTAATATACCAATATAACATGTGTGATATACCAATATAACATGTAATAAACCAATATAACATGTAATATATCAATATAACATGTGTGATATACCAATATAACATGTGTGATATACCAATATAACATGTGTGATATACCAATATAACATGTGTGATATACCAATATAACATGTGTGATATACCAATATAGCATGTGTAATATACCAATATAGCATGTGTAATATATCAATATAACATGTAATATACCAATATAACATGTAATATACCAATATAACATGTAATATACCAATATAACATGTGTGATATACCAATATAACATGTGTGATATACCAATATAGCATGTGTAATATACCAATATAACATGTGCAATATATCAATATAACATGTGTAATATATCAATATAACATGTGTGATATACCAATATAGCATGTGTAATATACCAATATAACATGTGTAATATATCAATATAACATGTGTAATATACAATATAACATGTAATATATCAATATAACATGTAATATACCAATATAACATGTGTAATATACCAATATAACATGTGTGATATACCAATATAACATGTGTGATATACCAATATAACATGTGTAATATACCAATATAACATGTGTGATATACCAATATAACATGTGTAATATATCAATATAACATGTAATATATCAATATAACATGTGTGATATACCAATATAACATGTGTGATATACCAATATAAAATGTGTAATATACCAATATAACATGTGTAATATATCAATATAACATGTAATATACCAATATAAAAATATACCAATATAACATGTGTGATATACCAATATAACATGTGTGATATACCAATATAGCATGTGTAATATATATAGCATGTGTAATATATCAATATAACATGTAATATATCAATATAACATGTGTAATATATCAATATAACATGTGTAATATACCAATATAACATGTGTGATATACCAATATAACATGTGTAATATACCAATATAAATGTACATATTTCTGTTATGATAGTATATACGCCTTGCCTAGTGTTCTAATCAGCAGTCCAAGTATGTACATCAACCAGGTTTGGTCAAACCAAACAGACAAATGACAGTTACCATGTCGAGTTTTCTAAATAATTTCAAATTCCCAGCAAAATGATCAAGTTTTATTTTATTCCTTTACAGGAAAATAACAGTACCCACAGTTATATGTATTTACAGTATGTGGAACTTACTATGTACAATACTCACTTATGTGCCTTGAAGTGTGCTCCAGAGATTGAGATGACACAGTCATGGTCCATTTCCTTCAGGTATCCCCTCAGGAGTCCTTCCCCTAGGGAATCACAGGCTTTGTATGGTATACTTAGGTCATAAGTCATCTTGACCAGATCTTGAAGTGAAGAGTTATCTCCCTTGCTTGAGCCCATATTTTCATTTGACTCCAACTCCTTGCAAGCATCAGAGCGAGTCATTTGTACATTTAAGTAATCATCATCTTCTGCCTTAGAGTTTTCTCCCTTTTCATCATTATTTAATTGGATTTCTGATTTACATTCTTCCTGTTCCAGCTCAGCTTCCTCATGCTCCATTGCAGAAGAGGCACCATTGACAACTCCATTAACACCACTATTTTCATTTAAATTTGGATCACTTGGCTGTGGTTTGACTGAATCAGGATGTACCGACTGGTCAGGCTCACTTTGAGTATAAGATTCTGGATTTTCTGTATCATCTGCATTGTCACCATTGCATTTATCACATTCTAATTTATCTGTGTCTGAAAGGGTGTCAACCTTACTTGAATCAACTGTTTCTTCAATGGCAGATCCTTCTTCCTCCTTTGGTTCAGACTTCTGTCGGAATGTTAAAAGTCCTATAACATCTTGAACGATACCTATATCATTATCAGAATCCTCACTCAAAAGTGGCTGGATGGTTAGGGTACTGTACAGTAGTCTGGGGATAAATCAATTCAATAATACAAGTATCATTATGTTTTAGTAGTATTTCAAAACAAAAAACAAAAATCGGGAACAACATCCAAGATTATTATTAGACAACTATTGAGAAAAAAAACCAACTTGTTGTCTGATATTCAAAATACAGCATTGATACTGAGAGTTTATGTTGTAAAACATTCTGCTTTAATTCATACTAAATATCAATACACATCATCATTAATTAGAACCTAATAACATCAGTCCATTTATAAGCAATATCAGTGATTATTTGATGCAATGGCCAATAATAGTACAGCAAACAAAATTGTAACAAAAAAGAAAATATTTAAATCGATCTAAGCCTGATGTTTGTATTAAAGACAAAACAATACCTCAAAGTGTCCCTAAGTACAGCAACTTGGACCCATTCAGGGAGTACCAGTACATCTCCTCCAGCCTCTGTACAGACCTCATGTAGTCTGTTGTAGATCTCAAGGCTCCTGAAATAGTTTTCTTACAGTAGATAATGTTCAACTGTTTATCAGGAAAAGTGTGCTATTCACTTGTGTGTCTATGAGGTACTGTAGCAGGTGGTAGACAATGGTTAGCCAAAACCTGCATGCCGTGTTTTAATTTACTCAAATAGTGGTATAATCCAGAATATACATGTATTTGTTCTAAAATTATCTGATTCATGAAAATTATGATTTTTTTGTTTTATTATGGGGCTTGTGCACCCCTCTGTCTAGATTTTGCCTTTTGTTTTATTATGGGGCTTGTGCACCCCTCTGTCTAGATTTTGCCTTTTGTTTTATTATGGGGCTTGTGCACCCCTCTGTCTAGATTTTGCCTTTTGTTTTATTATGGGGCTTGTGCACCCCTCTGTCTAGATTTTGCCTTTTGTTTTATTATGGGGCTTGTGCACCCCTCTGTCTAGATTTTGACTTTTGTTTTATTATGGGGCTTGTGCACCCCTCTGTCTAGATTTTGACTTTTGTATTATTATGGGGCTTGTGCACCCCTCTGTCTAGATTTTGACTTTTGTTTTATTATGGGGCTTGTGCACCCCTCTGTCTAGATTTTGACTTTTGTTTTATTATCACTTTGCACCCCTCTGTCTAGATTTTGACTTTTGTTTTATTATGGGGCTTGTGCACCCCTCTGTCTAGATTTTGCCTTTTGTTTTATTATGGGGCTTGTGCACCCCTCTGTCTAGATTTTGCCTTTTGTTTTATTATGGGGGACAAAACAGCTGTATTTTGCCTTTTGTTTTATCATCACTGTGCAGTCCTAGAAGGACCTTTTGCTGTATGATGGGGCTTGTGCATCACTGAGTCCTAGATTTTGACCTTTTGTTTTATTATGGGGCTTGTGCACCTGACGTGTCCTAGAAGGACAAAACTTTTGTATGATGTATCATCACCGAGTCTAGATTTTGACAAAACTGCTGTATGATGGGGTAGCATCACTGACGAGTCCTAGAAGGACAAAACAGCTTTTGTTTTATTATGAAGGGCTGTATGATGCACCCATCACTGACGATTTTGACTTTTGCTGTATGATGTAGCATCACTGACGTGTCCTAGAAGGACAAAACCTTTTGATTATCATCACTGGAGTCCTAGAAGGACAAAACAGCTGATTTTGACTTTTGTATCATCACTGACGAGTCCTAGAAGGACGAAACAGCTGTATGATGTAGCATCACTGACGAGTCCTAGAACGACTAAACTGCTGTATGATGTAGCATCACTGACGTGTCCTAGATTTTGACTTTTGTATCATCACTGGGTCCTAGAAGGACAAAACTAGATTTTGACTTTTGTATGATGTGCATCACTGACTGTCCTAGATTTTGACTTTTGTTTTCAATCACTTTAGATTTTCCTCAGACTTCTTCCTAGGCTTCAAAATGAAGGCAATTAACATCATTGACGAGTCCTAGAAGGACAAAACTGCTGTATGATGTAGCATCACTGACGAGTCCTAGAAGGACAAAACTGCTGTATGATGTAGCATCACTGACGAGTCCTAGAAGGACAAAACAGCTGTATGATGTATCATCACTGACGAGTCCTAGAAGGACAAAACAGCTGTATGATGTAGCATCACTGACGAGTCCTAGAAGGACAAAACAGCTGTATGATGTAGCATCACTGACGAGTCCTAGAAGGACAAAACAGCTGTATGATGCAGTTTAATTCATTGTTTGGCTATACTGTTTACTGTTTTAAAAGGTATTGTTCACTTGTGTGTCTCTCTAATCAAGTCAATTTCTATGTCTATGTAAGTTCTCTATGTTTTGCATTTTGCCCTCAAGAAGAATCAATTTGTGTATCTCCAACAAGACTTTCTTAAAGATGACTTTCCATAGATATTTTTTAACTTTCACATTTTAAATATTTTACTGAAACATACTACACACTGGGAAATTTTCAAACACATGACATAGATTTTATCTAACAAACAAATGTAAACTAAATCAGACACTAACCTGGTTTTTACAATGAAATTGTGAAGTTTAATTTCTTGTATTCCAGACTTCAATGTAATGTCGCTGTGTAGTCCTGTCTCAAACAGCCTGTATTTAGATAGATACAAACAGAACAATCAAAAAGTCTGTAGCAATTCTTCACTACTGATCTTGTAAAATGCAGAAAATTTTAAAGTCTCTGAGTTTCTTAAGCACCATTACAAACAAATCTTAGTAATCTGAAATTAAAATGAAAAAGAAATAGCAATCAGGTATTGGAATTATCTTTGCTAAAAGAATGTTTATAGGATTAAAATTGTACAATAACTGATTTAATTGAAAACATGTCTATTACTGACAAGCTTTGTATTGAGAATTTATTGTGAGCTAGATAAATCATTTTAATTGGAACACTTGACAGTTACATGAATCATACGTTACCTGTTCATGTCCCGCTTTAGCTGGGTGGATAATGAGAGGCGGAGTTTTTCTTCCTCCTTTGCACAACGTGACAGAAAGCGCTCATTCTCAATGAGGGGACGCTTGTCCTTTGGACGTGCCATTCTGTTTAGTCAAAATGAATGTAGCTCCTTGAGACTAATGTTTAGGATGAAGGAATTGTCATGTTGTCATGGTAGCTTCCAAGTGGTGGTGACTGAAAAATTCAGAGTGATATTTCAAATCTTCTGAATCGTCATAAAAAGGTTTGGATAAGTGGTACTAACCAGAATTCAAATTATGTACTTTCTTTGAACATCATTCAAAAACAACAAGAAAATACCATTTTAATCATCATAAGCCAAGCTCAAATTCCATAAAATTAAAGCAAAATATGAACAAAACAATTAATTACATGAAGACTCCTGAAAAAGTACAAGATTAAGACCAGGTGTGCTGAAGAGGAAGTGTCTTCTGCTTCATTGATAACACCGCCATGTTAACCTTGGTCAATCCAAGTAAGTATTGTTATGTTCTCAAATGAAAACAAGGTATACAACAGAACTAATAACCTTTCTTATCTTGTTTTTCGGTCGATTGTAAAAAAAATGAACATCAGCTCAGATGTACTTTATGTCTGTGGCATAATACTAAGTAAATTGCCCAAAGACTTTTGAATATCCACAATTAAATTTTTGTCTATGTTGCAGCTGACCACGAGAAAACAAAACTAGTCACAACCATTCAGACTACTTACTGCAGTATGCACATGTTACAAATATCATGTAGTTACATTTCTAACCAATCTTTTCGCCTATTTCCTGTTCAGATTTTCTATTAATAACTTCATTTCCTTGATGGGTTTTCGACCAAAAAACAGCCAAACAAAGCTAGGTAAACAAGTCTGATAAAATTACAAGAAGCCAAAATCAATTCAAACTTTGCTTTTTCCAATATTTTGCCCAAGCCACGTCTATTTAGTCATGGAACATCACACAGTTGCAAGAATTTTCACATAGAAAAGTATCCGAATATAGATACATTTGGTCGATATGGCCTATAGGTTATGATAGTACATAAAGCTATATGAAGTTTCTAAGTGACCAGAATTTTCAGTAAACATCTTTCCGTTAAAAAGTTATCTACCTTGTCAGAAAATAATGTGATAATAATATATTGCAAAAGTTATCGTTTGAACGATTTTGGCTATTTTTAGTGACAAATCCACCTATCTCATGAAGTTCAAATGTCAAATACAAACAACAGAATGTACCGAAATATAAATTAAGATGTAGATAACGATAGCTGAAGTATGACGTACCACTGTATTTGCCCGTCTTGATATTCTGAACCAGGGCTGCTACCACTGCGTTATGAACTATATGCTCGAAAAATCGATGACATCATCTTAGTTATTCAGACGATTATAACAAAGTACTGCAAAAAGCTCAGGATCTATCTAAACAGGAAATTTTACAGACAAAATACCTGATTCGTTCATTGATTTTCAGAGAGTATTTTCTCCTAGATGAAAGCGTCACATTCAAAAAATATTTCACACAATCTCATTATTTATGTACCAGCGGCAACAGCCCCTTCTCATGGAGGCGGCCATTTTGAAAGAGTAAGTTATGAAGCGAACGCGGAATATTTACAAATCCGGAATAGAGCAGATAACACTGTATGTAAACTTAAGAATGACTCAAGAGCGTTAGAAATGATTAAATAATATCGAATATCTACGTCAATAAACCAGATTTTTTTCATATTAAACGTTCGGATTTTTATTGTGCAATATATTGGACTATTTTCACTGAAGTTAAAAGGTTTATTTTTATTCCTGATAGAGTTACAGACTAATAAGAATTGCTACACAGTGTGATATAGGGTTATAGTTCGTTTGCTTCTGCCTTTGTTCGATCAGATTATCTACCTTTGTTTTTTTGTTGGTTTGTGTGTGGGTTTTTTTATCTATTTATTTTTTTATTCACTGATTTTTTGTTTTTGTTTTTTTTTAATTTTTATTTTGTTTTTCATGATCGACGTACATGTATCATGTATGGTAGGTTTGCAAACTGCAACCAGAACACACCCCCATCCCCTACCCAAAAAAAAGATACATTTTCAAATGGGTGCGTTTTGAGGTAAAGGGGTCGCAAAAACGAGCAATTTCGGAAAAGTAATTTTATGATACATGTAACTTATGCTTCTGAATTAACCTTTATTCATTATGGAATCATATATCATAGATGGTAAAATTCATTGAGTGATTTGTAAGATGTTATTTTTATTAACTGATATGTTTTTTAAGATATAGCTCCTAGCAGTGTGTACACCCCTCTATCATTGGGTTGCTGCTGATGATGATATAACTGGAATTACACGAACGATAAGTAAATAGAAACTTTAAGCCTATTTTATTAAATTTTATTATTTCATTAAATCTATTAGTCCTCTTCTGTTCTTGACATACGTCAGTAATATGCAAGTCTGCATTTATTCTAACTGCATGTTGATGTTGTATGTAGACGATTCTGCTATACTTTTTTCCCCATCTAAACCCAGCAGTAATATCGCAAAAAATGTCTTTGGTGTTAGAGTCCTGTCAAGAATGGTTAGTGGATAACAAGCTTTCTCTACATTTAGGTAAAACCGATAGTATTATTTTTGGCCCTAAAAGAAAATTGGATAAAGCAACAAATATGAATTTTGAAATATTATGCAATAATCATGACATTGAAGTTATGAAGTGTATAAAATATCTTGGTATAGACGTTAACGATTTGCTATCAGGTGAAGAAATTGTAGATTCCATTCTTAAAAAAATAGATCAACGACTAAAATTTCTTTACAGAAATGATCAATGTCTATCGTATAGGTCGAGAAAAACTCTTTGCTCGGCATTGATTCTTTGTCATTTCGACTATGCTGGTTGGTTTGAAGGTTTGTCAAAAAAAACTAATATATAAATCACAGGTAGCACAAAACAAAGTAATAAGATTTATTTTGAATATTCAAAATAGGCACAGTATAAGATGCAGTGATTTTTTGCGTACAAACATGTTAGACATTAATTATAGGGTTTGTCAAATCAGAATGAATCATAAGTTCAATGTTCAGGCTCCAAACTATATGTATAATTCCTTTAACAAGAATCCATGTCTACAAAATACTCGATCCTCGGCATATAATTTCATTCTCCCATCAGTACAAGGTAAAGAATCTACAACATTCTACATTACAGGCGCAAAAGAATGAAATTCTCTTCCAGATTATATTAAAAGTATACCAAACAAGCTTAAGTTCAAAATCCAAGTGAAACGTCACTTTCAAAACAAAATGCAAGAGAATCATGATAGTTATTATGTATATTATTGATGGAAATACATTTGTAAATCCATTTTAAGGACCCCAATGGAAATAAGCGTTTCAACGGTTTTTTGAGAAATCCTAGGATGTATGTACTTTTGTCTTTATTTACAAATTTTTAAATTTCCATTAAAAATGTAGCAAACAACTTATTCATGATTATGTATAACATGTTATATGTGCCATATATTAATATGTTTTGTATACAAATCTGTACATCCTTATCCTGAATTAATTAATTATTATTATTATTACTACAGCAATTGCTTAACAAGCTTTATGCCTACAATTTGTTCATGTATATTAATCACTGTTTTTGACCCGGATGGATGCGCATGATCGCAAAAGGTTTTATTGTGGGAAGATACCCGCAGAATTTCGGGTGGAAACCCACGTGATCGGGTGTAGGTGATCCCACACCATTTCATATCTGTTCGTCATATTGTACCAGGATGTCTAGGTGAAAGGCATTACCACCGCGTCACCCGACCATCCAACTGTACTAATATCATCCTGGTTGTATTCTTTGCGATTTTTCGTCATTTATGAAAATTCTGTTGTCTGAAATGGACTTCGATAATTCCGTGATCTGAAATCGTATAAGTCCTTGGTCTGAGATATAATCATTACGTCACCGTTCCTAATTTTCTGTGATGTAATTTATACAATATGACATCTAAAAGTAACAAAACACTACTACAACAACCACCACCACCACAGCCACTACCACCACCACCACCACCACCACCACACACACACACACCACCACCACCACCACAGCCACTACCACCACCACCACCACACACACACACACACACACACACACACCACCACCACCACCACCACTGCCACTATCACCACCAACACCACACACACACACACCACCACCACCACCACAGCCACCACCACAATCACCAACACACACACACCACCACCACCACCACACACACACACACCACCACCACCACCACCACAAACACACACACACACACACACACCACAAACACACATACACAACACACTCACACCACCACCACCACCACACACACACACACCACCACCACCACCACAGCCACCACCACCACCACCACACACCCACACACCACCACCACCACCACCACCACCACCACACACACACACACTACCACCACCACCACAGCCACCACCACCACACACCACCACCATCACCATACACACCATTTGCACACACCACAAACATACCACCACACACACACACACCACCAACACCACCACACACAAACCACAGTCACACACACACACACACACCACCACCACCACCACACACACACACACACCACCACCACCACCACCACTGCCACTATCACCACCACCACCACCACCACCACCAACACCACACACACACAACAGCCCGCGCATAACTATCCTAATTCAATAAGGCTATTCCAATAATACAGGAGGGAAAGTGGACAATAACCTAATCCTAATTGGCAGATAGCATAAGAAAACTGGACTACAGAAAAAAATATTAGTAATCAGAGCGAAAACTGTAGGAAATAACAACTAGCTGGGTTAATGACACAACACGTATTAACCTGTACTTCTGTTAACTAATAACAATGATATATATGTTTACAAAAAACTTTGTTTCAATTGTTATTTGGCTTGGCAGTTATTCAGGTTTTAAAAGAATATCTATTTTTGTTATGCAACTGTTCAGGAACAGCGAATAAAAAATTCTTGGATT